CTTTTTGCTGTTAATGCTAGGAGGCCTTCTTGCAATGCAGTACATGGGAGAACATCGATAATTTGTGATTCCTTAACGTTGCAAAGCCTAGCAGCGTATGCGCGCACCTCTTCCTTGTTGATCGACGAGTCCAATAAGGGAAATGGTAGGACATCACATCTACTCGGCTCATCACCAGTTGTTTTCACCGGCCTTATGACATCGTCATAGAGAGAAAACGAGCCCTCTGAACTGATAGGGGATGCATTAGAAGAGTCACCAGACCACAACCCCCCACTGCGGACTGGTAACTCATTTTGGTACATCTCCGTAATGAGCATTTTTTCTGATGTATTATCCTCGAGATCATAGATATCATCCGCGCGGGATATCTGCCTCTCCTGATCTGAAATTCGCGAGTCTAATACCGAGACATCCCGATTTTTGACATTTCCAGCCAACCTTTCAGTTTCACTTGTTTCCATGTCGGAGAATAGCATACCGCTTCGCCTGCCATAGCCGGCCGAAGTAATAGATCCACCTTTCACCACAGGGACATCCAATTTTCTCAGACCCTGTGAAGTGGCTGAAACCGCAGCGTATTTGAGCTGCACCAATCGCAGAAGCTCGGAGTTATCAAGCAGAGCGAGAGACTCTGGGGTGAGAATCGTAATGTCAGATTGCAATGCGGAAATAAGACCGTGCCTGTTGCTCAGGAGCTCGACCGTTGGATCCAAGTATAGGCTGCCACCACATGTCAAAACGAACAAGTTGCGCCACGCTAAATCCGAGAAAGATCGCGCAGAATCGCGTATAGTAGTGTTACTAGTAAGTCCGAGCTCTCCATACCGATACGTAGCCGCGCTGCTGAAATCTCGGTGCGTAACGATGATATCTCGGCTTGCGAGCCCTGTTCCGCTGTCGACACTATAGATTTCTCCAACAGCTTCCGAAGGGCTCAAGACCGGTAGCTTACTGGACAGCTCCAAGGGATCGTTTATACTCGATAGCAGGTTGTGGTCCACAGTAATAACATTGCCTTTCCCCAGGGACTGTGCTAACTGTTCGCTTTTTGGAGAAGAGAGAATGGTGAATGGAGAAGCTTGGTCTGCAATCAATCGGAGGTGATCTTGGTTCTGTCCGGTATCAAGGGCTATGGAGATACCCCCAGCCTTCATCACAGCCAGCATAGAGAGCGGCTCTAGGCATGTCTTCTCGAAGCAAAGAATCACTCTTGATCCTGGAGTCAACCCAGAATCCACTAGGCGATATGCTAACCTGATAGACAGCTGGTCCAGCTGCAGATAGGTCAGATGCCCGTCCCAGGAGCATATTGCTGGAGCTTCCGGTTTCTCCCAGGCAACCCGCTTGATTAGGCTGTGGATGCAGGCCTCAACAGGCTCCAGTACAGCTCGATCCAGAGAGCGAATGCTGTCGAAGGCATTTTTCTCGACCCAATCATGGTTGTCTGCGACAGTGCCCCCATGAGAACCACTTTCCCCGTGAACCTGATATCTCATGGTGATATACCCAGAATTGGTCAATAATTACTGATAATGTAAAGAACTTGGAAGTAATGTAAAGATGGTATGGAATAGTAATCAAAAGAGATATAATAAAAGTAGTTAGTTATCCATAGATCGTGTAAAGAAAGGCAGGCGTTAACATTCCCCTTTTTATATCAATCTGGCTACGCTGGTATAAAGTACTATTCTATACTATCCATCAAATCCTGTATGCCTTGTAGTAATATTAGTTAACTTTAATATTTTAAAACTCAAGTTGATACAGTACACTTCAGCACCTCCTGTATCCAGTTATGGTATAGGGGGGCAACCTGCGGCGGCTGAGGCTGTGTAGGGTATCGGGTATCAGCGCGCAGATCGTTTTGTACATCAATATAAAACAGCTGTCTACAAAGGGTAGTGCGGGCAGAATGAGCCAGGAGGTATCCTAATGCTAATTAACCGACGACTCGTCCACACAAATTCTTCCAAACGGAATCACGCCATTCATCTCTAGCCGTAGATGCAGCAAAAATGTCTTGCACGGCGCAAGCGATCCTGTTCTATCACTGAAATGCCGGGAAGTTTGTTTGGTGCAGGTTGATTCCCAATTTCTAGCGGGGTATGGGGACCAGGCATACAAACCTCTTTTCCGAACGGCTTTCCAACAACAATACGGTCCTGGCGGCTTGCTCTGCAACTTCAACTTAAGCTTCAAGAAGCCGGCTGTAACAAATCTTCTAGACAAGCAGGGATGAGACAATCCCTTTTTGACATCCGCCCAAGGTTTTTGTGTTTCCATTGGTTAGTAGCATTTTTCTAGTTAGTTATCTCCTCCCTGGCTAACTAACCGGTTGATCTTCGACAGATATACTGGTATGCTGGTCCGTATATGCCGACATACTCCGTATTTTGTAAGTTGCCGGTGCATATGCTGGAAAACGCTAAAAGTTAAGCAACGCAGCCGAAATCTAGCGAGTAACAAGCAATGGCGCTATTTTCGGCTACTAGGGGCTGAGATTAGGGGTGGAAGATATGTGTATTTTTCTCTAGATGCAGCCAGGCTTGTTCCCTAAGCGGCACGGAACTTGCAAGGCTGTGACGGCAGGACTAGGGTCGTATCTACACACTATATCAGTACATATACCATGATCTGCGAGATGGTGTTCCCTCGAGTGTGTGGAATGGTTCCTATCTCCACTACATGTAGGTAGGTCTCTCGAAACCAAACGAGAGATCAAACCACCTAGCTATTTAGCCAGTAGCCAAAGAACCCAGAAATGAATACCCATGGGGTACGTCATTTACCCAGTTGTATAACTAACCAACCGCCCTGTAGTTAGTAGTTAGTGATAGAGTATAATTAAACGTAGTCATGGGGTGCTAAGGGCCTACACTTAAGGCTCAGCGTCGGCGGTCGCTGGCTGAACAGGGCAGGAGGCTGACGCGGAGCACGCCTCAGGGGTATCACATGTTAATGCTTATATGCTCAGGGGTTCCGTGGACATATAAATAGTAAATACGGAGCGGGTCTACATTGCCCTCTCATCTGTATAACTGTATTGGAAAATAAACAAGCAAAACCAACCTAGTGTATCACCATGCCCTGACAATAGACTAGGTAAGTTATTAATCAATTAAATTTATCTATATACTTCGGCAATTTCTGTATGTATTTTAGTCGGGAGGGCGCAAATCTGTGACCTAGGACTATATATACTTCTGGTAGCGAGAATCTTATCTATCCTCCAACTGCCGCCGGGTATCTCAAAACGTCCGTTTCTTTAACTATATGCGAAATCCCCATTGCCCCATTGTTACATTGGTTACTGTAAACCCCCCTCCCCCTCCTTCCCCTCCCAGTCAGAGATAATATAAGAAAGTCTAGAAGGGCTCATTACCTTTCCTTAATTTGTCAACTAGTTATGAAGTACACTACTTAGTTAACTTCTATCCTAGTCTTTTGTGGAGATTACGTACGTGACTCGTGGACAGACTACAAAACTAACTAGTTAGTTAATGTATGGAGCATAAAAATGCAGCTCCTTAATAAAACTAGTTAGCTTGCGAGTTGTCGCCTTTTGTCCGAGCCAAGGCCGTCTAGAGCATACAACAACCAGTTAGGCGCCCTTGTAGCCGCTCCAGCTGCCGATTCTTCGAGCACTTGAGTTTGGGCATTTCGGAAGCTTCGCCCACTCCCCACTGCGGATGCAACTTTAGTGCAGTGCTTGGTTGCTGCAACCTGGCCGCAGGCGGGAGTGGGACCATCGGTTTTACCGAATAATCTAGTTTGTGAAATGAATTGGAAATGATCGTCGCGGGGTAACGATGTAACTAAAGAGCCATCGCTCCCAGCCGTGCATGGATCGAACTCGGGGGAAATGTTGGTTAGTTATCCCTGTCAATAACCGGTTAGTTGACGAGCTCAGGATGCTTCGTTTATCAATACGGCTGAAAAAGGCAAAGCTACATCCTAAAAGCAGGTGAGAAAACTTGCGGGTATAGAATCGTGAAACTGTTTTTAAACATTCCGATGGCTTCCCCATCCAAAACATCCCTCACATGGGCCGACCGCATCCACGTCGAGGTCTTTTCAATCTCGCCATTACTAGGCTGGGTAATTAATTATAGTAATGTCGGCTTAATTAGAGATTAGAGGTTTGGTATCCCTCGCACCCTGTGCGACTCTTCGAAAACGGGTAAAATGCCAAAAACGGCCTTCATTATCGTCTTCTGAACTCTGGTGCATTTAGACAAGTCTCATACCTTTCTTTTGTGATTGCCATTGAGCTCTGTGACTAGCTGCTCTTCTCCTTGCAATGGTATGCTCAATTGAGGTTGAGGATGCATTCGGGCCCTCAGTGGCCGGCTCATGTCTCGGGGGGGTTCGACTTCACTCTCCTGTTTGAAGAAAGCATTCTGACCATACCTCCTCTGGGCATTGCAGGTAAATAGGCCCAGGACTGCATATTCACTCTGATTTTGGTGTTGACAGGCTGGCTGGCTAACTGTCTAGTTACGTGGGCAATTGTCCGACTCCTCGCCCTTCGCCGTGAGCCAGCCAAAACCCGAAGATCATGGCTCGCTGTGCTGAAGCTGGTAAGTGTCCTGTCTCTCCGTCATCATCACTGTCATCCTCTCCTTCTTTTGGTGTTTCAGATAGGAAGAAACGTTGGCCTACCCTAGGTAGGCAGTTAACCACATAACTAAGGCTAAAAAACAATTACCACGTGACAGATCACCTTTGCCGTCCTCGTCACTCTCCAAACCGCGACTCTCTGCCTGTATGCGCGACATCAAGCACCTAGGACAAAACTGACGCTGGCCTGTGCTAGCTTGACGGTAGCGGGATACTGCATTCTAGCAGCAGTCTCGTATCTCGAGCATGTACGCTGCGTGCGGCCGTCAACGCTACTGAACATATATCTCGGCGTGTCAACACTCTTGGACCTGGCGAGGACGCGCACCCTTTTCTTCATCCAAGGCAGCCGCACCGTCGCGTTGGTATCCCTGACTGCTTTTATTGTCAAATCCGTAGCGTTCATTCTTGAAGTCACTGAGAAACGCCACCTCCTGCTGGCGAAGTGGAAAGATGCTTCTCCTGAAGCGACAAGCGGTGTAATCAGCCGATCACTGTTCTTATGGCTAAATCGCTTATTTATCAGCGGTTTCCGGACGTTACTAACTGTCAACACAATAACCCCTATTGATGAGGAATTGCTGGCTGCATCTGAGCCAACTGCACTTCTGGAAAAATGGAACCATGGTACGTGTTGGCTCTCTAAATTCCCCGGCTTTCATCGCTTCGTAGGAGGCTGACCTACTGTTAGTAGCGGATAAAACTAGAAGGTACGCCCTATTTTGGGTATTTTTTACCCATTATAAATGGTATATCATGGCCGGAATCTTGCCGCGATTGGCGTATACCGGCTTTACATATTCACAGCCGTTTCTTGTCCAGCGGGTCCTCGATTTTACTGCCCAGGTCCCTCATGCACAGACAATGAATATTGCCTACTCCCTAGTTGGGGGCTATGCTGTTGTTTATATCGGACTTTCAGTAAGTAGTCTCAGTGAAATCTGCCTTTCAATCACTTCGTATCCTTACACGTTAATAAAGGTAGCATACGCGGTTTATGAGCACAAAACGTACCGTTTACTCACTCTATACCGAGGCAGCCTGGTCACTTTTATATTTGACAAGGCTTTGCGCGTCAGCTCCACAAATGAGGACAGCGCGGAAGCAATCACCCTGATGAGTGCGGATATTGACCGCATCGGCTATAGCATGACACTTGTCCACGAAGTTTATGCTAGCTTCATCGAAATTGCCATCGCTCTCTGGCAGCTACACAGGCTTCTTGGAATTGCTATTGCTGCTCCCATTGGATGGATTGTCGGTATGATGACGTTGAATTTCAGAATTTTTTGAGACAAGTCTGACTATTAGTTATATAGCTTGCTTGATTATAGGAGCCCCTCTTGCAAAGGCCGCGGCCGATGCCCAAATTCCATGGCTGGAAGCGATAGAAATCCGTCTTGCTGCCACAGGAAAGTCATTGGGCTCGACAAAGGCAATCAAAATGACGGGCCTAGCCGATATCGTGTCATCTCGTATTAGAAGTTTACGGTTGGATGAGATCCGTGCCTCTCTTCGGCATCGTGTCTATAGTATACTAGTATTTGCTACAGGTGAGGGAAACAAAATGATACCCATAACAATAAACGAGAAGATATTTTGTGACTAATAATCAAAACCCCAGCATTTGCTTCTTCTGAGCTAGCTCCAGTGTGGGGTTTCACCGTCTTCATCATACTAGCAAAGAAGAAGAATAAAGGAACGTTGACTGAAGGAGTTGCTTTCGCTTCGCTCAGCCTTTTTGAACTACTCAACAATCCAATTACTACCATTATTAATGGTTTCGAGAACCTTCAAACTGTTCTCAATTGCTTTGAACGTATCCAAGATTACCTCAATTCGCAAGAACGAGAGGATTACAGGATACCGCTGCATGATTGGAGGGACTCTTCAGGCCCCGGCCTCTCTATCCCTGCTGACAACTTGAAAGATAACATCATTTTGAAGGAGATACAAGACCTGGACTTAGATACTAGTCCGTTTGTATCCATTATTGAGGGCGCGTCGGTAGGCTACACAGTGGGAGATGACTCGCTTACTCTGAAGAATCTTAACTTCCGGATTCCTCGTGGTGAGATTACCATGGTTTTCGGCGCCGTTGGGTCCGGGAAATCTACTCTTCTAAAACTTTTGCTTGGCGAAATGCCATCTGTGTCCGGGTCAATAAGAAGTAGCTTCTCTGTGGCCGCGTATTGTCCGCAATCCCCCTGGGCTACATGGGGGACTATCCAAAGCAACATTGTTGGTATGAGTGAATGGGATAAAAAGTGGTACGATACTGTTGTTTCTGCCTGCGCCCTTCTTACAGACCTTGAGGAACTACCAAACGGGGATCAAACACACATTGGCGCCCAAGGCTCGAGGCTCAGTGGTGGACAAAAAATGCGCGTGGTAAGTGGCAGATGGGTCTTCCATATTAAAACCGAACAATGCACTAAATGCTATCCCTATTTTTTCTAGTCCTTTGCTCGCGCACTTTACTCGAGGAACTCTACTATGATCCTTGATGACGTTTTGACCGGGCTTGATCGGGCTACTGAGCGGCACATGTTAGATGCAATATTCGGGCCCGACGGTCTGTTGAAGAAGCTAAACTCTACTGTTGTTCTGGCTACAAATTCTGGTAGGCCTTGTGCTCCATGCCATGGTTATTTAGAGCCCTGCTGATATTAGTGAAAGCAAACCACCTTAGTTTTGCAGACAACATTATTTTCCTCAGTGAAAATGGAGAAATTGCTAGCCAAGGTAGCCTGGAAAGCCTATCCTCCGATGAAGATATCAAGCGGCTTGCAAACCACTGTCAAACAGCCACCACATCTCGACCAGAACCAGAGCTCTCAGAAGATGTGTTGCATGAGCTTGAGATATTAGAAGATCCCGAACTTGAAACCAGCCGTATGACTGGTGACATCAAGGTATATGCTTACTATGCGAAGAACGCCGGGTGGTGGACTATTTCACTTTATCTGCTGGCGTGCTGTGCTTTCGTTGTCGGTGTCACATTTCCCTGTAAGTATTATAGACCCTGTTATTACCTCACAACCTACTAATATCTCCAGCCCTTTGGCTACAATGGTGGACCAATGCCAATGATACTAAGCCCAATGAACATATTGGGTACTGGGTTGGAGTGTATGCTGGACTTGCTCTTCTTGCAATATTCAGCGCTACACTCTCAGACAGGTGTGTGAATATAACCTCCCTAATGTGGTCCATGTAGGATTCAACTAACGCCAGCGAAGTGTTTTCAATCTCGTGGTACTCCCTAAAACCTCGCGACGGTTCCATGACGTGCTTCTAACTACTACTATGAGGTATATCTTACTTTTTATAGCCCGTGTGGAAGGTGCAGCCACTAACGTTGCATGTAGAGCTTCAACATCTTTCCTCACTTCCACCGATGTCGGAACTACCGTGAACAGGTTTAGTCAGGATCTGGAGCTTATAGACAATGACTTACCCCAGTCCATCGACCAGGCAATTTTCCAGTTTCTCTCTGCAATAGTTTCTGGCGTGTTTGTCTTTATAGGGGCAGGATATATAGCCGCGGCCGTCCCTCTGTGCATACTTGTGCTCATCGGGGTTCAATTCTATTATCTGCGAACATCCAGACAACTGCGAATCTTAGATATTGAAGCTAAGGCACCCCTTTTCTCGCAGTTTCTAGAAACCGTTGGTGGCGTTTCCTGCATTCGCGCGTATGGGTGGGCGGGGAGGTATACAGAGCGTCACTACAAGGCCTTGAATACATCTCAAAAGCCATACTACCTTCTTTGGTGCATTCAACGATGGCTAACCCTTGTCCTGGACCTGTTAAATGCCGGGCTTGCAGTTATGCTAGTCGCAATTGCGACCAATGTTCGCAGTGCTTCTACCCCCTTCCTAGGCGTGGCGTTGTTTAATATCGTTACATTCAGCTCTACCCTTCAGACGCTGGTGACAGCCTGGACCCAATTGGAAACCGCCCTTGGAGCAGTAAATCGTGTACGTTCCTACTCCAAGGATGTTAAGGATGAGAATCTTCCAAATGAAGATGGCAGTGTGCCTGATCAGTGGCCTGAGTCTGGGGCAATTGTGTTCAATAATGTATCTGCTTCGTATGACTCTCTTCTCGGCCCGGTTTTGAAGGGGGTTGATTTGTCTATCAAAGCGGGTGAGAAAGTCGCCATCTGTGGCCGGACAGGCAGGTAAGCTACTCTTCATTCGGCTGTGCTTTATCTCTTCTTAGTTGGTATGCGATTGTGCTTACGATACTATAGTGGCAAGTCTTCTCTCGTGTCATGTCTGTTAAGAATGCTAGAGATGGACTCTGGTACAATTTTAATTGATGGCATTGATATCAGTACAATCCCCCGACAGCAGGTTCGAAGTCGGGTAAATACCATTCCCCAGGAGCCATTCTTTCTATCTGGTACCGTTCGAGATAACGTTGATCCTCTACAAATTGCCGATGATGAAGCTATCATAGAATCTTTACAGGCTGTTGGTTTATGGGACTTCTTGAAAGGCCGTGGCCTTGATGAGGATATTAGCGAGGATAAATTATCCTATGGTCAGCGACAACTGTTCTGCCTCGCCCGCGCGGTAGTCAAGCAAGGAAATCTTCTCATCATGGATGAAGCCACCAGCAGTGTAGACGCTGAGACAGATAAGCTAATGGGGGATGTGATCCGTGAGAAGTTCAAGGGCATGACCATCATTGCTATCGCTCACAAACTCGACACCGTGCTTGACTATGATCGCGTGGTGTTGTTAGATAAAGGTGAGATTGTCGAGACAGGGAATCCAAGAGAACTCCTCGCAACACCTGCCTCCGCATTCCATGAGCTCTATCAGAAGTTAGCCACTGGAGGAACTGATATGGAATAATGTGATGATTCGAGGATAGTCTATCGACATGGTGAAGCAATACCAGGAGTAATACTTCTAAGCCACTATTTTAAACAGTAACTATAAGGGCCAATGGATAAACATTCTTTTTGTGACAACCATAAATTAGCGACGATTGGATTTAAATGACGGGAAATAGTAAGCATGAGAGACATAGCGGCACATATTGCTAAAAACACTGAGTTCACACTTGAAGCAACAACAAAAATAATGTATAAATGTAGTACGTCACCCAGCCCTGTCCACTTTCCATCCCCGCTACACTCCAGGGTATTCATACCCAATCAAGAGAACTTAGTGAAGGGACTAATAATAACACAACTCACGTATAGGTAGACCCGCAAGTCCGCTTTTTCCAAACATTACCCCTGAGGGATAGTATGTATAATAGTGCTCCTTGGATTACGATACACTGACTGATTCCCTAGGTCACCATCCTCATAGCAGAGTGGGAGGCCGGGGCTGCTGTGGCTCCGCTAGCCCGCTTTTCTGATTGGCTAATAGCCAGTGGGTCAATTGGCTTTACATATGTGGAGCCGGCTGAATCCGCCGTTGGAAACTTTAATATTTCTTGTTCTACAAGAATAGCAATGATCAGCATTGCTTAATAATAATATCCATGTGGCGATCAAGCCTCTTTTATATATAAACCCCGCGCTCAACATTTCGTTTTTCTTTCTAGGGCCGATGGTGAGCTCGTCCTTTTCTATAAGAACATCTTGCCCCTACTGGAGACTATTACACTGAGGGAAATGGATCTCTTCCACTCCCCCCAATTCTCAAATTATGTCAAGAAGGCCCTCGACTCCCACAAAATTCCAGGTATGGGGGTCTCGATTGTACAAGGCCGTACAATCGCATCGGCGGCATTCGGCAGGTCAAGTGTAGATCCATCAACGAACTTTACCCCTGACACGCTTGTTGGCATCGGCTCTATTTCCAAATCCCTCACCGCTGCCGCGGTTGCACTCCTAGTTCACGACAATGTAAATTATCCTCAGGTTCAGTACGATGCTACTATGTCGAGCCTTCTACCTGATGATTTTGTTATGCCTGGTGAAGACCACAGGGATGTTACCATAGAGGATATTTTGACCCACCAGACTGGTATGCCGGCGTAAGGAACTCTCCCATCCCAATCGCTTTAATTCTCGGGGATTAACTATCGTCCATCTATAGACATGAGTTCTCCATGTTTGGTTCAAACGCGGAGCAGCCGGATGACCCTCGCTCAATTACAAGAAACTTGAGAAATTTGCCCACCATAGCGCCCAACCGGAGTGGATTTATGTACTCCAATATGATGTATACTGTTGCCTCCTACTTGGTGGAACATGTTACCGGAGCCAGCTTTTCAGACTTCCTGGAGAAGCAAATATTCCAACCACTAAAAATGGAGTCCACCAGTGTCCAACCGGGTCGCGCTTTAGCTAAGACAAAAGGACGGGACATTTCGGTTGGCTATATATGGGTTAAAAACACCAAGACGTTGAAACCATCGCCTTACATGGACCACCCAGAATCTCAAGGCGCTGGACAAATTATCACAACGGCCAGCGACTACGCTAAATGGATCAAAGCTATGGTCAATCGAGAAGGGCCAATAAATGAGGACATTTACGACGCGCTGACGAAGAAACGAGTGATGGAAGATCCACCAGAAGACCAAGCTTCAGAGAACCCGTTGTTCTATGGACTCGGCTGGCAAATTCAAATTTATTCTGATTATACTGTTGTGTCTCATGAGGGTGGAGAGGCTGGATCTTTGGCTGATAATTTTTTCGTTCCAGACCTCAACTTTGGAGCATTCATCTTCTGTAACGCCAACAATGCTCATAACCTTATCAGCTTAGTGAAGTACCGACTGCTTGATGAGGCAATACTCGAGCATCAAGGAAAGGTTTTATCTTGCATAAACAGCAATCTTGAGTCTGGCATTGAGCCGGATGGGGGGCTAGACCTTGATTTTGGTGATCATGACGACGTTTATCATGACATTGTCCAATTAGAAGATGATCTTATACAAGAGCTGTGCCCTGGTATAAAAGAACTACAGCCCCAGAAAATACCACTGGACTCCTACACTGGGAAGTATTGGAATCAGGGTTACCGTGGAATCAAGATTGAGGACAGAGGTGGTCAACTCTTTATCGACTGTACTGATCGAACAGCCCCATTTACTCTTACTTTCAAGCACATATACAACCAGACGAAGTACATTGGATATGTCAAAGAGGCCTACGAAACCGACACATTCCCAGTCAAAGCAGAATTCGTACTCGATAACAATAGAGCAACGAAGGTGGGACTGCAGCTGGAACAAATCATGGATGGATATATCTGGTTCGAACGAAGAAGCCAATAGATACTGGGTTTGTTCTCTCTTCTAGCGAAACAATTTTATCCATCTCTGTACTCTTATCCCAGCAGAAAGAAAGTATTCCCTGGGCCTGCTTTTATCAGACAAATATAAATAACAAATGATCTTTGATATATCTATCACTCCTCGGAGCTGTCCAATGGGTCTTTTAAATTCGTAAGGGGTCGTAGCACGTCCAGAATCTCGCCATGGAGGTTTTCCTCTGCCAAAGAAACGGGAGAACTATAGGACTTATCCAACACATTCGGATCTGCTCCGTGGGCCAATAGGAGCTTCACAACTTCCAGCGATCCAGCAGCGGCGGCTTGATGCAATGGAGTCCGACCCCAGCTTGTCGCAAGGTTTGCCTCTGCGCCAGCGTCCAGCAAACGCTGGGCAATTTCGTAGTATCCGCGGCCACATACCTGATGAAGAGCAGTCCCTCCACTCATGGTCCTTGCATTCGGATCAGCCCCTCGTTTGAGGAGGAGATTGACAATATCTTCATGCCGGCCCTCAGCAGCCCAGTATAATGGAGTCCAGAGGTCCACATCTTTCGATTCGATATCTGCATTTGCACTAAGAAGGCTCTCGACGATCTTTATATGTCCATGGCTACAGGCCACTTGCAGAGGCGTTCGGCCCCCCTTGGTCGAACGGTCAACTTCTGGGTCAAACTGGATGAGCAGGTTTACAACCTCTACACGTCCCCTCTGGCGGCAGAAATATTAGCACATATTCTTATGTATGGTGATAAACACAGTAAATATACGTACCTCGGCTGCTCGGATTAAGGGGGTTACTCCGCTCGTTGTGGTGCAGTTGACAGTGGCGCCATTCTCTATTAAGTGTTTAGCAGTACCCGTGAGGCCAAGATAAGATGCGTAGTGAAGAGCTTGGCCTGGTTCATCAGGTGGCTGAAAGAGATCTTTCTTTGGTTGGTTTGGTGTATAAACAAGCAGCCACGCCTGCACTTGAGATTCCGACATGAAGAACTCATTCAGTAGCTCAACAGCCTTGTCCTCAAGTGGCATTCCTGTATACGCAAACCAAAATTCACACACATATAGAAGCAGAGGAAATTCATCTATATCATCTTTTGTGCCAACCCGACAGTCTGAATCTATGTAATGGGTGACATATTGGAGGCAGCTTCGGAGAATAAAGCTGGTGACAAGAGACTTGTCAACGTAGAACTTGACGACTAAGGGATTCTGGCAGTTCAATGGATGAGTTGAGATCAAATACTCTTTGACGGAGAAATGGGACAGCCGTAGTTCGACAAACCCTTCATTCACGGTAGTTGCAGTTACCCTGCTGTCGTTACCGTCGTCCATGCCAGTAACATCGTGTTCTCTCTGGGCCACCGATACAAGGCTGCCTAATATCTCTAAGATGTCGTCCTGCGGATTGAAGAAACGGCCTTCCGGATCAAACGGGGTATCATCATCTGCGTCTAGAATGGCCGCTTCGGCGACTTCCTCAGAGCTTAACGGCCTTCGCGCCTCTACCAGCCACCATAGTGCACGGCGTGCATAATCCTGATAGTTTTCAGGAATACTCTGGAGGATTCGTTCATAGGTACCGTCCAAAGTCTTTGGAAGCGAATCTAGCGTTTTTATCAGAAGTGCTTTTGTCTTGCACCGTTTTAATTCGTTAAGCTGGCAATCTACCCATCGAAACCTATAGCCAGGTGTTAACCAGTTAGTTAGTTAACGTCCACCGGGGAGGTGGAAAGAGGAGAAGGGGAAATAGGAAGGGTAAAACAGCAGAAAACACATACATCCCATCAGCGTCGGCTATCAGTTTGTCCTGTATCTCTGATTTCAGTTTCGCCGGCAGTTTCTTCAATGCTGGGTCGGAAGAAAGCTGTGTCTGAATGTGATGTGTGATGTCTCGGGTTACAGAGGAGCCACCGACAGAGACCTCAGTAACAATAGGAATTAGGCAGAGTACCTCTTTGATATCAGTCTCGGCCCTGCTTGTCAGAAATAAATGTAAGTTCGAAGGCGTCCAGGAAGTGATAGTCTGGAGGAAATCTAGCAGTTCCTGCCTATTCTCCAAGGGGCACTCATCCAGAGCGTCGATGGCGATGAAGATATTCTCGATAACTTCAGATTCTGCAAACAGTTTGAATATAGCAGTCAAGTCTGATAGTGCGGGTGTTTCACTTCCAAAGTTACACTTTTTCACATAAAGGTCTCTGAGCTCCTGTGGTACTTCTGGTGCCTTGGTGAGCAGTCTTGAGAGCAGGTACCGTAGGCAGTTTGTGGCGCTTTGCTTTGCAGGAGTACCAAAGTCGAAGTAAAAGTAGGACAGAAGAATACCGGGTTCTGTGTCGTACTCTGCTTGAAGATGTTCGATGACAGACGAACTGAGCACTGTCTTGCCGCTTCCGGGCTTCCCATGCATCCAAAGGACCGCAGGGCCAGCACTCTTCCACTCCTTGAAGGCTTGAAGCTCTAGTGCCCATTCCCCGGTTCCCTGCGAGTGTTTCTTCCGTGCATCCTCATGGTTGGACCAGCTTACACCTTGTTCGACAGCAGAGAGCCACTGGATTATTTTTGCACGGTACTCCCCTTTTTGCTGTTCGTTGTGGTTGGCAGATATATCTTTTCCCAGCTCGACAACCAGGCGATTGGTATCAAGAGTCAGCCTCGTCTGGTCCGCACTGAGGGCCAGGTTGAAGCTGGCCTTGCACCGTTCAAGAACCGCAATGCTGCTTTTGATCTCCTTGCCTGTAAACGGCCACTTCAAGGCCCGGACACCAAATTGTCTCATCGGGTTCTTCTTCTGCTGGGCGACTTCATGTTTACCGCTACCAAGGCCACCAGCCTTTTCCAGCTTACCGGCCAGCTCTAGTAGCTCCGCCTGGCACCTCGCCAGCGCTCCATCCTCCCCTAAGAGCAACGCAAACGCTGGCAAACGTTCAATTGCTTTGGGGTCACTGGTATCTTCAACCAGGTCGAGTATTTTGCGAAGTGTCCCCTGCAAATCGCTGACTTCTCCCTCGAGCCATTTTATTTCCTTGCGGGCATCCCTGACCTCAAAGTAGAATTTGACAGTGAGATGCAAAACATGGGTGGTCACCTGGATCAAGCCTACCACACTCGCAGCGGCTTCCATCGTGCTGACGCTGGCGTTCCCCCGATCGAACTTGTGTCTGCATTGTTTCTAGGTAGCGAGGATACGGAGTACTATAAGTATATATATGCCAACCTCACGGAGTATGTCTTCGATGTGTCCCTCTCGCCGCCGCAAGGCTAACTAATTAGAAGAATTAGAAGGGTGCAGCCGTCCCCCCGCTTGGCGCAGTAATTACCTGTTGATTAACTACCAGGATGCCCGTGAAGGATCCGAAGGATCAACTAGTTAGTTAGTTAACTGGTTAGCCAGTTATGAGCCAATCATGAGCCGAGTCGTGACTCTGTATGGCGCCATCACTATCACAGAATATCATAACAAAAACCCAAGAGGTGCGCTCTCCAGAGGCGTCGCCTTCTTTTAGGTTGATGCAGGACTCCGTAAATAACCCTGAAAAAGGGAGCAAAGGGGTCCTAAGACGATAGGCGGGCACTCGATCTTTTGGGCATATTCGGATAACTAGGCTTATTTACATAATCTTGATCTCGAAGACTCCCATACGGAGACATATCACCCAACTATACTCCGTAGACTCCTGTATTTGGGATTATTCCCTCTCTTCTGTATATATCCAAACCCACTAAATATTAACCACTACCACAGTACTGGCCACCGATGCATCCGGGTTCTCTGTATTGGTAAGCGCTGGCATTCGAGTAATATAGAATATACCTCGATCATTTCACTCCGTAGTATGGCTTAGATACAAGGAGAAGTAGACGTAGCGCATAGTCCAACGGCAAAAAGTCTGGCGTGCATCACAGAGCTTTTTCAAACAGGAATCGTTCTAATTGCTCGAATGCCCCTGTTTGCGAAAACATTTTGTTTGATCTTTGAATAGTACACCTAGTTTTGTACTATAAATCCAAAGATTAGTTAAGTTTCCACCTTCTTCCTCTATGCTAAGGCCTCACTTTGCCTCCTTCCTTTTCCTTATAGTATACGATTGATAGGCTAGCACGCAGATAGATAGCAAGTAGAGAGGTGAAAAGGCAGCGAGATGGTGAGAAGGAGCTCTGCTTAACTAGTAGCTAATTAGCCAAAGGGACAAAGAGACAAATTTAATTAGTAAGAAAGGGGGTAGGGAGCCTTAAGAATAGCACTTTTATCAAGGGATTACAGTGACCAATTCCAAATACAGGAGCTTTACTCCGTGCGGCTTGGCAGTGTGTGCGGTGGAAAGAGGGAGATGACCAGGTCCGAACAATGGTTTGGGCGAATGAGGGAAATGACTAGGCAGGTCCCAACAGTGGTTTGGGCCAATTGTGTTTGTGGTGCATCTCGGTGGAAAACTCAAATTAGCCTCGCATCAGGTCAACAAACACAGGTGTGATGGATGATGGTTGACTCTTGTAAAGCGACAGGAGAACGCATGGCCTTCTACAACGGAGGTCCCATATAAGAAACCTCTCGCCTGCATCGTGTAGGGCCTGAAGAAGCAGCAGAAGAACATTCCATTGCACAGTCATATCTACATCTATACACCCACCCCGATCTATACACATAGCATCTCCAAGCCTCCTATATTTCCATCTTCCCCCTTCCTCTATACATCGTCCTGAAGATGCCTCGCTCATCAAGCACACCTATTGGCAAGAAGACTGCCAACAAGGGGTAAACCCACTTCCCCTTTTCCCTATCTAGAACCGCACAGTAACACCTATTAACAGTGACTCCGCTTCCATTTCCCTCGACAAGAACGGCGTCGTCAACGGTGGCCAGCTGCAGCAGTTCGTCAACAGCTCTCCACGTTTTGATTACTGGACGACGTACTCCTCGAGCGCCAACAACATGGAAAACATAAACGCCGTGATAGAGGATATCAAACGGGAATTTGGACAATAAGAACGCCCAAGAAGACAGCCATCGGGGTTCCGGCAATATACGTGATGAGCATTGGGATTCAGGCAATGCATGGTGGTATCAGCTTGTTACTTCAAGAGCCTGTCCCTGAGCCTTCTCTTCCTTTAAGAAGTCCATCAGATGCATAAAAATCTCCCACATCTCTGAACTCATAGGCCATCGCGCGTTCTCTGTGATATATAAACCATTCTTAGATTAAATGGGTGAATCAAGTTAATAAAACAAGTCCGGCTTTGCTAATTGAAATGTGCGGCCATTTAATTGCAACATACCTCATTAAAAACAATCCACCCCATTCTTATAAATGCCTCGACCATGATACGAGTTCCAGTCACCCTCGAAGCTGCGTGCTGTAGCTCGCGGATAAATTCCCTACGAGCTCCCAGGCGATAATAGGCTATTAGACCGGCGCATGCTACTCTGAGGAATGGTTTACGCGTAGCTGCCAATATCAGCTTCCTTATGCCATCCGGTGATCAACGCATTTGCCGTTTCCTCGCCAAGCCCTTCCGCCAGTGGCCGCAGTAGAAATTGCGCCCCTTCGACAAGCCTCTCTTGTATATCCACCATCTTCCTATCGCCAGCAGGCAAAAACATTTCAGGAACAAAATAATATATAGCCATGAAAGTCTGCAAATTCATCAGAGTTTCATTCTTTTGTCCAAGCAGAGCCTCAAAGTCGGCGAGACGCTGGCGGAAAATAGCTAAAAGACCGTCATCTGTCTCAGAACCAGGTTCTTGCTGTACAATTTGCCAAAGCCTTGACCACGACTCGCCGTGATCGGCTCCAATTTTCCTGAGAAGTTCAGCCAGTATCTTTTGTCCAGCTTCTTCGTGTCCGAGCTGTACACAGCTTGTAATCAGGGCGAGCTGACTGCGAGCTTCCTCCTCCAGGATCTCTGGTGGTTGAGCGTCCGGGATGGGAGGGAGAGGAACTTGAAAGCGTTCCAGTTCCCCAGTGAGTAGAATAAGGAATCCACTGAGGGCGTCATCGAGCATCATACGTCCTTGCGCTGTTGCATTCCCTTCCCTGATCTCATTTTTCGGACTAGATCCGGCCTCTCCGTCACTAGGAGAACTGGGAGGCCAAATTAGCCACTGCGAGAGAAGCTGTTCATCGGTTAGATGCCAGTCCAGACTAGGAAGATGTAGGCTGGCGTGGCTATCAGGCTCAAGTTGTTGATATTCCGAATCGTCCGAGATTTGATTTGGTGGCGGTTCAACAGATCCGCTTGATGCTGGGGTTCGGATCAGGATCCTTGGGTGGGCTTCTGGAGTTGGAGCACCTTCACGAGTATGAGTACGGTTCAACAAGCATGTATAAGGTATATACCATACCTTGGTATTTTCGAGCCAGTTTCTGGGTAGTTGTAGGCCGATGCCGTTTGATTGATCTCTGAAGCCTCCGTTCGTCGATCGGGACTCCATCACATAGTACAACACTCCTCTTGTCCGCTCTCTTGTCCAGCTGTTTTTCAACCCAGTTCCAGTCATCCTGCTTCAAGTTCCTTCGGGACGCCATTCTGGGTGGTGGCTATTGGGGTATTAACGCGTATATGATTGTGAGATAAACTATATCGAAGCCAGGCTCGAGTAGGTTAACTAATATGGCCGACTGAGATAGATTTCCCTGGAGCCTTTATGTATGTACTGTATGGAGTATGTCAAGAGACAAAATGAGAGCCTTGCTAATCATTGGGCTGCTTCTCACAGCCTCCTATTGGCCATTGCCATTCTGTGGTTTGGCTAGGTTATATGAAGACGGTTTGGCATGGCCCAATCACTTATCACTCTAAAAACGCCATCTGCGCCAACCTGGTTTCCTGGAGCTGGGCAGGCGGTAACGCTAGAGTGGACCCGCCCGATGGCCAGATCATGTGACCAGTATCTTACCGGTTGCAACAAGATATAAGATGTTATAGTAATAAAGTTAGTCAGGGGCCAGCATGAGCGAGCAGGTAACTACCCTAACCCTAGCCTGCTCTCTTCTTCTTCGTTCAAATCTCGCCGTCTTGAAGTTTCAAAGTCGAGGATAACTGCCAGCTACACTACTGTGGATTCAATATATATAAATCAACTACCTCCCTACCTACCTTAACTGGTTACAGCACCAGTCCGGCGCGGGCAATCAAAACACCACCCACCGCACAAACGGTTAAATAAGGCGGGAGAGCTGAAGGTGAAGCTTGTCAAGCGCGCTAAACGCCGAGTAGATAAATTTGCCGCCGGCAAGTAAGCACGGAGCGGCTCAACTATAACCCTGTTATTTGTCAGCAAAACCTTACCGCCGCGGCAGCGGCGTAGGATTATGAACTTTCTTTCCGTACAGAGAAACAAACAAGAGATTTCCCTTGTCGGGTGACGTCGATTCGATCATGGCCGGACAGTGCTGTGGCCTTGCTACGTAGAGACCGGGCCGATAGTTTATATGGAAGACCAAGCCACCGGTCAAAATATCTACTCCTCACCAGCGATTTCGGCCTTCGCGGTGCTAGTTAGCCCTCGGCTAAATGAGAGGGAGAATACGATATCAGCGCCTCTCAACAAGCCAGTAGCTCGGCCATACCGCCGAGGGCCGAGAATAGTTGGCTCAGTGGCTACCTCTACGGGACTTACCCCAGACACAGCGGCGTCTAGACTAGACAACGACAGCTATAAAGAGTCACGGCTATACTTATACCCCCCCCCCCCCCCCTCCCCGTTTTATGATTTTAAATTGCAAGGCACATGAGTACATAGAAGGCCATCAGTATGGGGAGCAGGTTCATTGATTACCTTCGCGGGCCCGAAAGCAGGCCAGGAGAGACCCGCTGTTGCGCAAACTGGACTTCTTCATCCTCACTTTTTGCTGTCTGATGTACTTTGCAAACTATGTGAGCGTCTTCCGTTGGGTGTTCATGCGTTTATGCAATTGCGAGCAGAGGCTAACTGACGGGTAGTTGTACCGAAGCAACTTGGCAAATGCCTACGTCTCTGGGATGAAGGAGGACCTGAACTTCCATGGGAATCAGTTCAATCTCATCAATACCGTCTTTACTGTTGGGTACGGTTTGCGGACCTCCCCCATTGCTCACTTGTGGCCGAATCAACCCAACTGACGATCGCTCCGAGTTAGTTATGTGCTAAGCCAGGTCCCATCTAACCTGGCTCTCTACCGCCTTAAAGCCACGGGACTTTCTGCCGGGCATGATGGTGGATGGGGCGGCCTCACCATGGCTACTGCGGGCGGTCGCAGCCGCAAGGATTCATGGCCATCCGCTTCTTTCCTAGGCCTGGGTGAGTCCTCTACTTTTTGAGGAACACACTACATCCTGGGCTCTTGGTATACAGAGCGAGAGCTGGGGAAACGCTCTGGGATCTTTACTGCGTCTGGTCTGGCAGGGACAATGTTCGGTGGCTTCATCCAGACTGGTATCAATTCATCCTTACATATGAAGCATGGCTTGCCAGGCTGGAGATGGCTCTTTATAGTACGTTGCACTAGGCCAAACCCCCAGTGTCGCTTATAGCCGAATGCTGATGATGCTCTATAGGTTGATGGGCTTGTCACCATTCCCATTGCTGTCTATGGGTTTTTCCTCTTCCCAGACACCCCAAAAACGACTCGTGCGCCTTACCTCACGGCCGAGGACAGGGAATTGGCTGTAGCCCGGCTGCCGTCATCGACTCACGACGCCGAGCCTACGAAGCTCAACTTTGCCCTTGCCAAACGGGTTTTCTCGACCTGGCATCTGTACGGCTTTGTGATTCTCTGGATAATTGCAGGTGAGACAGAGTCCTTCTCGACGAACTCTCTGCTGGCCCTTTACATGAAATCACATCCGACCATCAAGTATACCGTGGCGCAGAACAACAACTACCCGTCTGGCATTCCTGCCGTCGGCATCGTCTCAACCCTCATCTGGGCGACACTCACGGACTTTCTCGGCGGGAAACGCTATCTTGTGGGCTACTGGATTGGTATCACGGGCGTAGTCACCTCTGCCATGATCCTGGCGCCGGGCTCGTCGACGGCCACCATCTTCGCAGCATACTACTGGGCTGGCTCCGTCTATGCCTGCCAGGCCACCTTTTTTGCCTGGGCCAACGACGTGATGCGGTACAAGGACGACGCCTGGCGTAGCATCGTCATTGCAGGCATGAACATGGGTAGCAACATTATCAATGCCTGGTGGAGCATCGTCTTCTACCCAGCCAGTGATGCCCCTTATTTCAGGGTACGCCGACATCTATCATCCTTGATTTTTGATTTTTTCACCCTTTCATACCAATTACATTTGACTAACCAGAATGCAGTCTGGCATGTATGCTATGATAGCGTGCTCCATAGCCATGGCGATATGGACGGGATTTGTGACGTATATGTCCTGGCGAGAAGGGAAGCAGAGAGTCGACAGCGAACAGCCGGCGGAGAAAGAGGACATCCGCAGCAAGGAGTGCTAACCCCGGGTTTCATCCATTCCTTTTATTTTTTAACAATATCCGCAATATGAATAATAAACGGCCAAAATTCGTACTCAATTTAGCTATCTCATAATTGATAGCTCGCTTTCAAATGCAAACTCATGTCGGGGCTGGATACAACAAGCTTGCATATTCATGTTGCTTAACTGATCAAGTAAACTACAGTTTACCTACGGTCACATTATCTAAAGTCAAAATTGACCAATTATAAGCCTCAATGTTCAATGAAGTGTATCCCAAGTCTGTATTAGTCAGCGGTGATATCTCTTTCATTATCGCCAGAAGAGAAGAGACAATAAGCAACTGACGAACCGGTGGACGAAGATGATGACGATGACGACGGCGAGCTCTGTAGACACAGCAAGTTCAGCAGACGAGCATCCTCTACCTTCACCCCTATCGCAGTCGACGTCGATAAGCTCTCCCGACGAAGCAGACAGGCTGACGAGCATGGCCGCGACCCAGCTGGACGACGTCTTTGGCTCGTCTCCGCCACAAGCAGCAGCAGCATCATCAGGAGTAGCAGGAGTAGCAGAAGAAGATGGAGAGCTTAGCCGAGGGCGGTCTCTGGCTGAACCATCGGACCTACCCTCGCTGCGTCGACAGCATGTCACAGCCGGGTACCGCGACGGGGTGGCGGCGGCCAAGGGCGAGCATGTCCAGCGAGGGTTCGACAAGGGCTATCCCGTTGGAGCAGAGCTGGGAATCCGAGCCGGTGTTGTACTGGGGGTGCTCGAAGGTCTGGTGAAGGCGCTGTCTGGGGGTGAGGAAGCACCGGAGAAAGGGAAGCGGAAGGCCAGAGTGACAGCGCTCTACGAAGGGGCCAAGAGGGAGCTGGTACTGGGAAGGATCTTTAGTCTGGAGCAGCAAGAGACAGTAAAGGAAAAGAAAAGGGCGCAACAAGGAGGAGGAGATGAAAAAAATGAAGAAGATGAAGATGGCGATCCCTGTGTCCGGCTGGGACAAGCTGGCGACACGGCCGTTACACAGTGGGAGGATAGAGTCCGGATATTGCTTGCTGAGCTACGCTGAAGGAGGAAGCAGACAGTACTGAGGGCCATCGAGGACGACGCCGTGGAGATCCTGACTTCTGCTGCTGCTGCTGCTGCTGGTACGGAGAACTCTCTCGCCCGGGTGGTATAACATATTCTCCGTATATACATAACTATTGAAGAGCACGCAGCTGCTGCTGCCCTACTGCTCCCTCAGCCAGAGCCAGATCCACGACAGCGGAAGCCCACCACCCCCATCTCCATCTCGCTGCGGACAGACAGACAGCAGCAATTGATGCATCGACGGCTTGTACGGAGTATAGCTACGCAACAGGACTGGCTGCCCTTTAGCCAGAATCACCCGTACGTACATCTATAAAAGAGAGAGGACAACAGACAGAGTACACGACTGCCGGTCCACAGTGGCGCAGAGGTCCCTTTCTTTTCAACCCCAGGCTCTCTCGTCCTGTGCATATGTTATTATATTATTTAGTACTTGTCTTTTCGCCCTGCGTCGGCGACCCCCAGCGACCAGAGAGACCAGAGATCAGAGACCAGACGTGCCAGCGCATCGAGACATGCGAGCCGACCCTGGGTCCCTTTGCTCCCGCCAGTAACTCTCTACCTACCTAGTTATCCAGTTATCCAGTTATCCAGTTACTGCGACTGTCGGTCTCTCGTTTAGCTACTGGCAGAGAAGCAGGACAGAAGAAGAAAAAACCAATAAATAATAGAGAGAGAGAGAGAGAGAGAGAGAGAGAGAGAGAGAGAGAGAGAGAGAAAGGGCCTCCCCCCGGCAAAGACCAGCTCCCTCTGCCTCTGCCTCTGCCTCTGCCTCTGCCTCTGCCTCTGCCTCTGCCTCTCTTGTCTCTGCCTCTCTTGTCTCTGCCTTTTGTCGCTCTTTCACTGCCTGCGATTGATGTCTTTATTAGTTTCATCTCATCTTGCTGCTCGATGTTTGGCGGGCAAAAGGGCAGCTTTTCCTGACCAGCCATCCTTTTTTGCTTCTTCTTTGCTTCTTCTTGATGCGATTTGACCAGCCACCGGGACAGCAGCCAGCAAGCCAGCCAGCGAGCCCGCGCCAGCGCCAGCAGCAGAAGACACGCCAGCTTCGTCTTCGTCCGTCTCTTGATTCTTCTTCTCCTTCTTCTTCCTGTCTTCTTGCCGACCTTTTTTTCTTTTCTCTGTTCGACATCCTGACCTTGGTCTTCCTGCTGGCGTTGACCTCGCCGCAGCCAGCTCCCACCACCACCACCAACACCAGCACATACAGCCAGCATCTACACCTACAACAACCACCAGCGGACAGGACGAGGACACGAACCAGGAGCAGAGGTCAATTGGTCTTCTCTGCCCGAGACGGAGACGCAGCCCGACTCGCCGGCTTTCACGTTGACGTCCTCGCTGCAGCCCGTGTTTCCCGCCGTGTCGCCCTCTGCTTCCACCCGCCCTGACGAGACCCACGACCGCCACGACCAGTCTACGATATCAACATCAACTTCTGCCCGGCCGTCGAGGCAGCGCCAGCGACGCCACCAGAGACGAGCTGCCCTGCTCAAATCCACCGGCCAGAGTCCCTCCTCGCCCGACCAGAAACACGCTCACACACACACTCACACTCACACTCACACTCAGCAGACCAGACAGGACCCCCAGCTACAGACTCCTCGGAGACAGACACCGCCTCGCCGGCAGCTCACCCTTGATTCCATAGAGCAGAGGCTCGATAATACCCGGCAGGAGAAGGAGGAGGAGGAGGATCCCCAGGGAGCTCGTCTGGGCAGCACTCGGCAGGGCACCACCACTGCTGCGTCGTCCTCATACTGGCCGGCGCAGAGCACCAGGGTCTCCCCCAGCACCACCTCGGCCATCCTCTGGGTGCTCGAAGAAGCCATCCGCACCCCTTACCCTTTCACTCCGGACCTGGCAGAGCTCAACGCGTCCATGTCGGAGCTCTTCGAAACCCGGGCAGATGTTCCCAACGGCCGCGGCAGCCAGCATCACCGCAACAACAACAACGGTGTAGCCGTTGCCCCCAGCGGGAACGGGATGGGACCCGGGCAGCCTCTGGCCTTACCTGTGCCTGCTGCACCCACCACTGCCACTGCCACTACCACCCATCCAGCCAGCGGTGTTCGCACCCCAACCGACATCATGAGACGGCGGCGGGAGCGTGAGCGGGCACAGCTCAAGGCCGAGCAGGAGGCCAAGCTGAGAGAAGAGCAGCTACAGAAGCAGGCTCAGCAGCAGCTACAAGCTCAGGCTCAAGCACAAGCTCAAGCACAGGCCCAGGACCAAGCACATGCACATGCACATGCACAACAGTCCGTCCCAAACATCACAGTCTCCCAGGAGCCTAGCCAACGGCAGGGAGGCAGGCAGGATACCGTCCGGATAGTTGCAGACGACCAGCAGAGGCCCACCGGACAGCGATCGAACATCTCCCAGGCGGCCAAGTTGGCGACGGGCGGTTCACAGCAACAGCTACCAGACAGCTCATCCAGACCTCAGGCTAGTCAATCTGCGGCAGGCGGCCAACAGCAGCAATCATCTAGGGGTAAAGCAGCGTTCCCTCACGCCTTTGAACGCTGGGAGATGCTCTCCTCCCACTGGGAGGGCCTTACCAGCTACTGGATCCGTCGTCTGGAACAGAACAACGAAGAACTCAGCAAAGACCCGCTCAGCCAGCAGATGTCTCGACAGGTGACAGACCTCTCTGCCGCTGGAGCCAACCTGTTCCACGCCGTTGTCGAGCTGCAGCGTCTCCGAGCCTCGTCCGAACGCAAGTTCCAGCGCTGGTTCTTCGACACCCGGGCCGAGCAGGAACGCGCTCAGGAGGTGCGTGCAGAGCTGGAGCGTATGCTAAGCTCCGAGCGTCAGGCCCGTGCCGACGCCGTGGCCGCCCTGAAGCAGGCTGAGAGTGACAAGGCCAAGGCACAGGAGCTGGCCAGGGAAGTCCGGCGCGAGCTGCAGATATCGCGAGACGAGGCGCGCCGAGCCTGGGAAGAGCTGGGCCGCAGAGAGCAGGAAGAGCGGGACCGCACCATCTCGCTCAGGAACGGCGAGCCCACCATCGTCGGCGGCGTCCAGGTCGTGCCGATGCTGCAGTCCGTCCCTAGCAGGCACACTAGCACTGCCAACCGGCCCCCAACCCGGGAGGGCCCTTACCCAGGCGGCCCCAGTGCGACCTCCATGGGAGGCCAGTCACAGCAACGTCCCTTGCTGGAGACGACCGAGGCAACCGGATACGGTGACAATGGTCACGATGCAGACCCCTTCATCGAATCAGCCAATCCTCCCTTTGTCCCCGAAGCACCTCAGCCTCCCGGTCAGACGGAAGGCGGCCGCAGCCACTTCTACCAGCACAACCGCCAGGACATCCACGGAGGCACCGAAGCAGACCCCAGCGATGTCCTCTCCGAGGACGGCCGAACACCTATCACCACTACTGGGGATGGGACTACTACTACTCCCGCTACCGCCGTCACTAATGGCGGTACGCAGCATGCCTCTGATGGCCGCCAACAGCTTTCTTACCCTCGCGCCATGTCCGATGATAGTGACGAATACACCACGGAGCCATTCGACAATTATGTTACCTATGGCTCAGGACCCCATGGCTCTCCTGGAGCAGGAACCAGCACCGCAGACGACAGCCACGTCGGCTATCCTGCGCCAGTCGACTACAGCGGATCCGGATGGGGGGTCGGCGGCTCTGGATGGGACTCAGTTACTCCCCGTCACCGCCATCCAACTCGGCTCAGTGACGTATTGGAAGAGGACGAGCGAAGCCGTACCAGCCCCAGCCGCGCCAGCCAGACCAGTCGAAACATGCAATAGTTAGCAATCCCACCATTTTAACGCCGTCTCCTATGTTCATCTCCTATGTCATTTCTTATGTGGTTTCTTATGTCTTTCTCACGTCTTCTTTCGCCAGTTCTAATGCCCTAAAAGAAAGCCCTCCAGCAGACTTAATATGTCTTAATATGCCCCAGAATGACCATCCCCTACCTAATATCCATGGAGTCCGGTGTTGTCCTTCTCACTTTTCGCCAATTCTTATTTGTCTACCCTTCTCATATCTGTCTATCTGTTTGATGTCTATCTTATTCATGTCCACCGCTAGAAATATCCCCTTTTCTCGCTTTACTTTACTCCGGTATTCCTATCATGTTTCAACTGGCTATCGTCTCCCTTATGGCTCTCCTCCACCTTCCTATCATATCCCCCTACATTTACACGTCCCCCGGCCGGCGTCTAATATCCTCATCTAGCAGCCAATCTGCTTGGTTACTGGAGATATTGGTTTGATGCTCCGGACAAGCCAGATGATGGCACTTTTTCTCGCTCAGCATCAGCATAGCATAGATAGGCATGAATTGCATTTCTTAGGGAAACAAAAAGAGAATAAACCAGTAGACTTACTCTTCATCTTCTCGCCTTCTCTTTGCATCTTCTTATTGTCTTTTTATAGCTTCATCGTCTGGAAGTTTATGCCGGCAGAATTCGGCCCGAAGTACTCTCACGTGACATATAAAGTTTATCCGCGACTTCAAGGACGAAGAAACAAAACTTGCGAGAGGAAGCAGAATTAACGAAAGAAAAATAAAAAGAAGGGGGAAAAAAGAAGAGATAGAGATACAGACAAGGCAGTGATGGCGTCTGCTTCCACCTTGCCGACCCTTTTGCGGTCATTGCGGGCGGCCCAAGGGTGCTCCCGCGCCCACAAGCTCTGCCAGATCAGACCATATAGCCAGCTACTATCACAGACAGCAGAGACGACGAGACACTCGCTGCGGCCGCTGAGCAGACATGTCCATCCAGGCGGATCCAATGCCTTCTCTACCTCCACGGTGCGGCCGGCCAAGACGATTGAACAGCTCAAGGCGCGCTCGTCTACGGGACCGTTCTCATGGAAGTCGGCGCTGCTGTTCGTGCTCACCGGAGCAGGCATGATTGTATATTTCCAGTATGAAAAGGCACGGCTGGAACGGGAGAGAATCGTGGAGATGAGTAAGGGTGTCGGAAAGCCTCGAGTAGGCGGACCGTTTGTGCTCAAAGACCTCAACGGAGACACCTTTACGGAGGAGAATCTCAAGGGCAAATACAGCTTTGTAAGACTATATTATCCACACCTGAAGTCATAGGAGATATAAAAGACTGACGAGGCAGGTCTACTTTGGCTTCACACACTGCCCGGATATCTGTCCCGACGAGCTGGACAAGATGGCCGAGATCATCGACGAGGTGCGAGCCAGGTCGAACGGACAAGAAGTGATGCGGCCGGTCTTTATCACTTGTGACCCAGCCCGAGACACCCCAGAGGTGCTGAGAGCGTACCTGAAGGAGTTCCACAAGGACATCATCGGCCTTACTGGCACTTACGAGCAGGTCAGGGACGTCTGCCGCCAGTACCGGGTCTACTTTAGCACTCCTCAGAACATAAAGCCCGGCGAGGACTACCTGGTCGACCACAGCATATACTTCTACTTAATGGGTCAGTCTCTTGTCTCATCACTCTCACAGAAGAAGATGAAGAAGAAGAATATACTAACAACGTGGCAGATCCTGAAGGTGACTTTGTAGAGTGTATTGGACGGCAGGACACTCCCCAGACGGCATCAAAGGTCATCCTCGACCATATCGGAGACTGGAAGAGGGCTGGCAAGCCGCTCGATGTGGCGCCCAGTAAGTAGCGAGGACAAGCAAGAAGACTACAACAAAAAAGAAAAGACAAGGCTCCCTCCTCCTGTACAGTATAATAGCCGATTGAATGTAATAATAGCAACATGTAAACAAGCCATCAGCCGTCCCGCCCTCCCTCCCCTACCCCAGGAAAGAGTAAGAATATAGCTCTCCAAGACTACTGGACCGGCTTCCCCTCCGCGTCCCGGTCTCGGTTGGCCCTCCACTCGGCAGACGAGCTGTCATCGGCAAAGTCTTCTCTCTTCCATATCTCGACCTTCTCCTTGCACTTCTCCAGGATCTCCTCTGCTGCACGCCAGGCCGGCCCTCGATGTGCCGCACTCACGGCTATCGCAATACTCTCCTCCCCAACAGCCACCTCGCCGAGTCTGTGGGCGATGCTAACGCCCGTCAGGCCATGCTTGCCAGTATGCTCTTTAGCAATTGCCATCATGGTCTCCAGGGCCATGGGCGCATAGCTCGAGTACGCCAGCCGCGCAACGGGCCTGTCTGCAAAGGAGGACCGCGTGGTGCCCAGGAAGAGGACGTTTGCACCGGCATGGGGCGACCGGACGTGAGCCGTGTACTCCGAGGGCGCCAGAGGGCCGTAGGTCAGCTCGACCCGGATGTTGGACTCGGGATGCGCCAGTCGCTGCGGGAAGTTCGCTGGGTTGAGGTGTGCGGGCGTCTGCTCCTCGAGGTCTGCCATGGCACCCCTCGCTCTGTCTTGTCCCTCTTTTCCCTCTTTTCCCTCCGTCGCCATGCTCCGCCTTCGTAGGCTCTATATATACGGGGTATATAAATATACTTATATTAACTCGCGAGTCTATAGTCCGTATACAGCGGCAGTGTGATCGGGAGGTGGTGGTGGTTGTTCTGCGATGCGCCATGAGGGACGAGGGGCCAATTGGGGTGCGGCGGGAAGAGAGGCCCGCGGTTCCGCCAGCCGCTTCTTGGCTAGGCCCATGGGTGCCGCCTTTGGGCTCACCGACCTCTTGCAGCTTTCTTTTTCCCGTCCTTATAAGGCGGGGTTTCGCTGTGGTCGTTGATATCTCGAGGCTGTCGATTACTGATTTGGATATGTTGTTATTGTTGTTGTCGTGGTTGTTGTTGTGGTTGTTGCCGCTGATGTCGTGCTCGTCAATGTGTTAGCTACTGTGGTGCTAACTATTCGGTTGACGTCTTTATGATAGCGATATCATCTGATAGAGAACGACTCTGCAGGTATTACATATCGAATACCAGATACCATATACCATTTACCATACAACTTATATATACCACATACCACAAAATAGAAGACAAGAGAAGGTACCAAGTACCATGACGAATCAGAAGAATGTGATTGTGAGATTTATATTAATGCTCGCTGTCTATATATCCTGTTGAAGAACCACAAGTCGGTACCACATTGCGCATGATTAGGAGATAAAAAAGATGATAAAAAAAGATGATGACCTCAAGACCGGAAGATCAGGCAAAGAACGAAAGAAGCGAAGAGGCGTTGGCAAAAGGTATCCCGAAGAATGGTATATGTACGAGTCCGAGCCGGAGGAGTATGTGCACGAGATGAAACTGGGTGGTTTTTTTGATGGCAACGCAAAGGAAATATGGCTGGAAGAGAAGGACGGAAAGCGAAGAGAGGCCTAGCCTCTTTGGTAACCAACAGCATCGAGCGTGAAGGTTTGAAAAGAGGTTATGGTCGTTGCAGTTGATCGTCGAGAGTGAGTGAGAGAGATTCTATCGGAAGAGCTCCTTGGTGCACGATTTATATACCGTCAAGGCGAAAACCAGCACCCACATGCAAGTAACAACAAGAGAGAAGAACTAGCGACACAGGTTAGTATATCATCTTTCCCCAATACAAAACATTGCGTGTGAATGAAGACCCTAATTACTTACAGTTCCGAGAATGTCGAAGAAAGGAGAGTTGAACTCCTTGCCCATCTGCGTGGTGGCTGTGGTGAAGACACCGAGGGGGAAAGTGAATGCCCACCAGCCAATGTTGAAGTAGAATTTGCCGCGGGTGAAACTGGCCAGCGCAAACCACATCCAGATGAGTCCGAATCCCCACATAATCATGGCGATGAATGCACCCATGACATAGAAGATGTCACCGGCGATTGGAGCAAGGAAGTCGAGCTACAGGAGGGTCAGTTTCATTGAAACATTTCACAAGCACGAACGCAAGAGAGAGAACTTACTCTTGGGAAGACACGCTTAGCTACGACACCGAGCTGCATCATACCGAAGCCACCCTGTCCGAGAGGGCCCATGGGCAGCAGAGCACTGACGATGGCTGCTCGCGGAACCAGCTTGTGAATAGCAAGACGCTGGAAATAGATAACGATGATAACCATGGCAAGCGGCACAGCTGATCCCCACATGACATAGCAGACGAGGATGGTGATGAGAGCGTGGGTGTCGTTCGTCAACGCATCGGCAACCACACCTCCAGAGGCGGCGGCGACGACGGGAGCCACGATGGGGAGCAACCAGGCCGCCGTCATCGTCTCGAGCGAAGCGCTATGTTTGGTCATTCTGCTCAGGTTAGCCTCTCGAGTCTAGATAACTCAAAGAAAATGTCTGGCGAGGCCCAACTTACAGCATGAAGGGCACAAAGTAGCAGATGGCGATTGATACAATAGCATCAAGCCACCACAGGCCCCAGGCAAATCTGGCAGCCCAGTCACCCCAGACGGGTACACAAATGAAGACGATTAAGTTGATGATGGTAGCGAATCCCATGGGGAAGGTTCCAAGAAGCATCGAATGAGCGGGATGAGCAAGCATGGCCTTGAACTTGTCGGGCCATAGGCAATACCGGGTTATCGAGATGAAGAGGAAGAGAAAGAAGATGATTACGTTGAGAACGAAGAGGATGACGGCGATGTAGTGAAGTCCGGGAAACTGGTACGGTAGGTTTTGGAGCAGGATGGCTGTGATGCCAGTGCCCATGTTTACGGAGAACCATCTATCATCTTCAGTCAGTCTTCTTCTTCTGTTGCAGCAGCTCCGTTTTCATTCACTAAACGACAGATTCAGACTCACCCTGGGTGGAAGTTGGAGATGGCAATCCAGTCGTCTCTCTTGCGGGCCTTCTCGCCGCCCTCTTCGATGTTCTGGAAGCCGGATCCTGACGGCATGGCTGTGACTTGGAGCTCGTCGTTATCCGGGGCAACTGTTCTCTCCGACTCTCTGCTTCTGCTACGCCCTCGATCTTGCCTACCAGAGGAAGATTCGTGTGAAGCTTGTTTTGACAAATGAGTGTGAAGGTCTTTGGTATGGTTGAACGAGAGTCGGTGGTCGTCAAGAGGAGAGCGCGGCTTGAGAACATCGGAAGAGGAGGAAGAGGACGAGCCCGCTGTTATTATGGGACTGGTCGCCGGGGTCTTCTCGACGGCCATCTTGCCGGAAGGGCAGCGCGGCCGAGTGACTTTTCCAAGGACCTGCAGATTTCAAGTCTCTAAGCGGCCACTATCTCCCGGTCGCCCGTCACAGAGAGCAGAGATGTATGGGCGATCGGCGACGTTTCAGGTGGGTAGGGAGGTGAAATGAGACGGACGGAGTAAGCCTGGGATCCTTGGGTTAGGGCGAGGGATAGTTGAAACGTTAGCTGTCTAGCCGACAGTCTGATATTCAGTGGTTGGAAGGTCGAGGTAAGGTGGTAGCTGGTGTTGAGTACAGAGTACAGAGTATATGGCGAGAGAGGAAGAAGTTTGGTGAGAGGGCGGCAGGACGGCCGAGTATATATGAAGAGATCCTGTCTCGGACGATGTGATGCTCTGTTCGGCGACCCAGGCGCAGCTCGCATTTCTCAACGTCAGGCCAAATGCAGGATCGGACCGTTCTCTGGTTCTGGTTCGCTGTGGAGGATCGCTTTTTGCTTTCTGTCTTCCTTGTTCCTTTCTTTTTCGCCTTTTTTTTTTTTCCTTTTGCGCTGCCATTTTTTTGTAACTAAAATTACGGGCCCCTGGAATAGCCAAGGCGCAGCCCGGCGAACTCTGATCGCCATCTCGTTTACATTTGCAAAGACACTTCTTCTGATTCCTGGGTGATGCCGATTGACGGGAGGCTCGCATGGCCATGGCAAAAAAAAGGAAGATGAAGAAGATAGAGCTCAGGACGCTGCCTCTTGTCTGGTCCCTCGTCTGTCGTCCATGGTTGTACATCTCATCGCAGCGTGCAGTTGCTTAACTGCTGCTGTACCACCGAGGGTGCTTTTCCCTCCCTCCTTCTCGTCTCTTTCATCCAGGAAACACATTGAGTCATCCCACGGTCGGCGGCCAATGCCGGCCAAGTCGGCCGAGAACCCTGGGCCTTGACCCGGTTGTTTCTCTGCTTCTCTCTCCTGTTTTCCCTGGTTTGCGAGTCGTTCGTCGAATAGCCTGTTCCCTGCCTGGTTCTTCCGTTCTTCTCAACGAACTCATCTTAGCCGGCCCTGGCCTCTCCCTGCAAGCCAGCCCAGAACTTAACGCCCTTCATCCTCTTTCACTTCCCTGCCTGTTACATCATCATCATCATCATCATCATCATCACCACCACCACTGTTAGGCTCTCGACCTGTGTCATATTTTCTCACCCCCCTTACTGCGCCTTTCTCTGTGTCTTTCTCCGGCCCCTTCTCCGGTTCATCTGAGCGCTGGCTTCGCCCTTTTCACCTCCATCTTCATCTTCATCTTCATCTTCATCCTTTGACGTCGCTCCCTTTTTTGCCGAAATATTGTTCATTCGCCGCCGCTCCACGTGGGTGACTAATATGAATATCACGTGTTCTGTTCTAATTTTATTCTTCTGGAAGCCACGTGAAGATGCGCTTAGCCTATTTCGGACTAGCAGTGGGTCTGTTCTGGATTGGGAAGGCCAAGCGAGCCGAGGTCTGCTGACTAAAATGGTTTTCCGGTTAGATTGAGACGGAATATCAAAAACACAAAGCAACACACACTGTACTCCGTACTCCGTACATACATGGTTGTGGAGTGTAGATAGGGAATTGAAGCATCAACACACAGGAATGGAGAGATGCCAGATAGGATGCAAGCGGACGATAGGGTAAAGGAGGAAAGAACTGATCGACTCACCTCATGGCTCGTATCCGTGTCTGGCTCCTGAAACAGGCACACATCCGGGCTATACATGGATCATGGGTTACTACGATACGATCTCATTTTTTTTTTTCTTCCTCGCCCAGGGAGCAGCAGAAGCAGCATGGAGTGCAAATAAAAGACAGCAAAAAGGAAAGAAATGTTCCTGGAAGGAAAAAAGTCAGCTTGACAGAGCCTTCTGAGAACCTGTTGGATTTTAGTGCCAGCTTCTTCGCTGTCGATCGCTGCGAGCCGAGCCTTCATCTTGCTGTTACCCTTGCCTATTATACCTGCAGCTGGCCATGCTGAACCTGCAGACCGAGGATGAACGCATGGCAGGCGTGGGAAAACAGACATGCGTCCGGCATGCCTTTCTATCAGAGAGTTGCCGAGCGGCTCGGCCTGGAGAATATGGGGGAGCGTCCCTCTCGTGCCGATATCTATCTCCTTCTGTCTCCATGGAAGTATAACTCCGATATTATGCATCCTCGCATAACACTGTATTTCTAAACACACCTGAGCGTATCTCTCACTCTCGATCGTCATGGCGACTTAATCTCGCCGAAACAATTTGTAACCCAACCTCCAAGCCACTATCGGCCCGCACTGCTTTCAGCCTCGTGATATCCGAAACGAACGCTGCACGACCCATCACAGCGAAAAGGGGGAGAGTTGATGTCGAAACATCGGCTGCTTGGCTCCCCTTCGATGCGTCCACCACTAGTGAGATTGAAATACAGCTGATATCTACATATAATTGGAAAGTGTGCAGCGAGGACCGCCTGGGCGATCTGATAGGCAAGTGATGCTGCACGGACAGCGGTAGGAGAAGTATATCTGCGATGCAACATCAGGCTGTAAACAAGTAAAGTCTTATCTTCCCCTTCAACAACAAGATTTCGCAAAGGTCAAAGTGACTCTGTGTCTGGCCAGTATGTATGCGTTGGTTGGTGCATGCCAATCCAACGTGGCTTTCAGTTTCAGTCAGTTGCAGCAGCGCAGCAGGAGGAACAGCTGGCAAGCATGAATGGCTCTCAACAAGCCTCGATCTGCGCGAACTGATTCGACAGCTTTTCCCGTATACGAGCCATGGCTGAGATGTGAATCTACACAGAACATATGAAAATAGAAACATGCAAGTAGGTGGGATCAGTGCAGCCGAGCAGCGTGCGGTGTAGCACCCGCTATGGAGCACTACAGCTCGCTCGCTATCTGATGGCGATGTGTCGGTGTGAAGGTCGAATGCCTGTCATCTGCTACTTCCACCGCTCGTTGATCGTGACTATCGTTGATATCGTTGTAGTTTATGCTGGTTGTTGGACGTTGCTGTCGTTGTCGTTGGCGGTGGTGCTTGTTGATGTTGATGTTGATGCTGATGTTGCTGCTGTTAGAGTCATGATGTCGTACGGAAATAATGTATAACGACTTATTTAAAGCTTGGCGTCAGATTTTGTCAGCCAAACCGCCCAGACTTGGGGGATATCAACGTCGACAGTCATCAGCAACGCCAACGACCAGCAGCTATACAGACAGCGGGTAGCATTAGAGAGATACACATACGCAGATAGGAAGAGATACCCTCTCAGACACTGAGGCACTGCTCTACCACCACCCGCCAATGGCCACCATGGTACGCGAGACATCGCGGTCGCAGCCTGAACAACCCCAATCCTCAGCCTCGACCTCGACGTCAACAGCTTCACCATCCACACAGTCCGCAGTTTCACTGCCTACTTCTACAAAACTATTGATAGGCGGCTCCGCCTTTTTCGTTCTCTCAGCCTTCATCACTCGCCGCTCTCTCAACCGCCGCCGTCTAGCGGCTATCCCTCAATTCTACACCACGGCTTCGCATCACAAACCCAACGTCAGCGCACCCCTCGAGGCCCTGGAGGCTCTCAACCTCGCAACTCTCAATGTCGTGTCCCTGGCCATACTCGGTGTTGGAGCAGGGATGAAAGCCGTTGGATTTGAGACCCTCGACGAGCTGCGGAGGATAGTTCGTGGTGGACTGGGAGCTGACGGCACGGGGAGGACGGAACAGCAGGTGGAGGAGGATATGGAGGAGTGGGTTGTCTCCGTGCTTAATCGGAAGGCCAGCAAGGAAAATGAAAATGCGAAGGAGGCCGAGAAGCAACGGGCACAGGAAGAGATCCGAAAAACCTGGTTGAATGAGCGGGGGAAAGAGAGGTGATGATTCCTAATCCTAGGTTGTTTCTGCATGTACGACTAGACAAAAGACTTGTATACTACTAACTACTGGCATCTTATACGAATCCCCTTCCCAGATACAATTATATATATGTACTCCGTATATATCAGTTGTGGCATCCCCGTTATCATATTAACTCGTGAACATGGGATACAGCCTCTGCTAAATTCCCCATATAACGGCTACCAAGGTAATACCTATAATACCCCTTTCGCCGTACCCAGTTATGGTTTGATGTTATTACAATTTAGATAGTACCTATCTGATGAACATGGCTAGCCCTGCTTGTCCTTCATCATCTCGTACCTCTCGCGGGCATGCTCCCTCGTCTTCTCCAGAAACTCATCATATCTCCCACGCGTGCTTCGGCCAGCTTCCTGAATTGCATCTCCTACCTTTGAACCCTGGGCGCCCAATCCCACGCCCTGCACATACAGGTCTGCTGCCACCGGTTGCTTCATGCCGGTCCCTTCCGCACCGAGACCGGAGCCAGCCAGCCAACCCATCTTCCCCAGTAGGGCAGCACCCTTGGACAGCGCTGGGGGAGGGCCACCAGCAGCATCAGGACCACCAGGGTTTCTCCCAGGCCCTGGCTCATCCTCACCCTGGCGACCATCTTCAGCCTCTCTCCTTTTAGTCCTCGACGAACCAAACACCCTCCGCCGCTCCTTGGCACGATCGCGATACTCTGTCTGGTCTGCTGCAAGCGTTCGCTTCTTTGCCAGCTTGGCCAGTGCCCTCGCCTTCAGCGTCTCATCTTGCAGGTTCTCACGGTGCAGCTGGCTCAGCTGTTCATGCTGGCGAACGTGGGCCTCAGATTTGAACTCTCTCATGCATAGATAACAACACAGTCGGTTAAGGTCGGCGTAGGACTGCTGTCCTTGCAAATGTGGCTGCTTTGGCTGATTTGGCTGCTGAGGGAGTGGTTGGAGATATGGTGATGATGAATGTGACTGGGGTTGTGATCGGGCAGCAGCCGTACCAGGGTCGTTGGACTGATCTCCATCGCCCGTCTCGGCGCTGCGTCTATCAAGGCCATGCAACTCCGCATGGCGATTGCTCCAGAATTGGAGATGCGAAGCCATGGCGATCTTCTTCGTCGCAGAGCCAGCAGCAGCCCCTACCCCCGCATCCACTTTCTTCCTCTTCTTTTCTTTCTCTCCGTCCCGGCCAGGGTGCGCGGCCCTGGCAGCACTCGTCTTCTGTGAGGAGGTGGAGGCCGTTCCCCCTGCCGCTGCATTTCCACCAGGCTCGCTCGTGGCAAGTTTGAGTTCGCAAGCATATGCCTCATCGTCCCAGTAAGCCAGCTTCGCAGCCAAGTTGCCAAGTGGGCTAAACGTGAATCGCTCAAGGTCGCTATTCGTACTCGTACTGCCGCTGATATGGCTGTTATGAACACCTGGGTTGAGATTAAGAACGGGTACAAACACGCCAGCATGGATGTACGAGGCGAGGACCGGCTTCGAAGAGATGGTAAAGGTATCGAAGGAAGTGTAGCGAGCGACAGCGCACTGAGCATCCTCCACAGTCGCAAACTCCGCAAATCCGTACCCCCAGCTCTCTTTTGTTCGGCGATCTCGTACCAACAGGACACGACGAATTGATCCATCTCGTGCCCCGAGATTGCTGTCGCCGGTTGTAGACGCGACCTTGGCTCCCTTTTTTGCCGTGGCTCCACCAATCCCGGATGAACCAGGGGGGGCCGAAGCCGCCGCGGACTTGGACTGTTTGCAAAGCTTCGCAACGCCCTTTGCCAGGACTTCCTCGGTAACGCTGGGTTCGAGGCCTCTGAAGAGGAGAAACTGAGAGGGCGTGCCGTCAGTCGAAACATCATTATCTCCATTGTTGGCTACCTTAGCAGTCTCTTCCACAGAAGGTACAGCAATATCTACCAACGTTAGACTCTATCAAAACTTTGATATACATATATATGTCATTTTTTAAGAGTATGCATTTTTGCTGTCATACCTGGTTTGGATGTCTGGCAACGGAAACACCGTTGTCGACCTGGATAGTTGACAATTGAGCACTACTATATGTTAGTCCACGGACATAAAACGTTGTTGTAGATTTTAAACGGAGCTTACATTGATACAGGTCCATTCTCCGTCGGGTCGGGCTCTGTTACGATCCTCTCGCTCACGGCTGTAGGCAATCCTGACCTTTGCGCCCTGGCCGTCACTACCAGCTTGGCCATATAGATATATGACTGGAAAGTTGGCTTCCAGGAATTCACGCGAGTCGTCCATAGACGGGAAGCGGATAAATGCAAGCTGACGTGACATTTCTATGTCCGTTAGATGTATGCCAGTATAATATGCACGGTGGTTAGGAAGCTACTTGCTGGTTTGTTTGTCACGAATGACTCGGACGTCCTCAAGGCCCCGAACATGGTAATACTGGGCAAGTTCATTTGAGACCTAAAGAAAGGTGACGAAGTCGGATTCATCTCAGCATGCAGCCAGACGACAGGAAAAGAGGGAGGGCTGTTCGAACGTCTTCTTCGACCATGTCAACCGGCACACCCTCCATCATGACCTCTCTACTCTCTGTCCCGTAGTGCCGCAAGGGCCGCGTGTGACGTCTGCTCTGGCTCCGGCTGGCACTTCTACTTCGACTGCGACTGTAACTTCGACTACGCGCTCGACTGCGCGACCGGCTATGGGATCGACTGCGACTGCGGCTGTGGCTATAATTCATATCATAGTCGTAGCTTGGGGGAGACCGGTACCCCTCACGGTCTCTATCTCTGTCCCTGTAGCCACCTTCCCATCCCCGGTAGCGCCCTGGCTGCGGCGGCGGCGGCGATCGCGAAGGCTGTCTGTAGGGCTCCCAGTCTCTGCTACCGTGGTACTCGTCCGCGCTGTCTTCGTGCCTCCTATCGGCTGCCCAGGCACCTTGGGCGTCACGGTCACGGTAGTACATGTCTGGATTCTATCAGCACATGCTCAGATCTGCAACACAATAGCACAAAAGAGACGACAAGGTTAAAAAAAAAAAAAAAAAAAAAGGAAATGGAGAGTCAGGACGCGGAGAGTGAGGCAGCTCCCTACCGCCAGGGGAATCGTATCTTGGTCTCGGGTCTGGGGGCGAGTTTCTGTCGCTGTAGCGAGGGCGACCGTGATCAGGATATCTGCCTTCCTGGCCCCGGTAAGCCATGACTGAGTAGTAGTGGCAGTAGTTAAAAAGTTGTATCTGCTATATTCGCAGCCGCGACTGAAGCTGAGGCTGAAGCTGCTGAGCTTTGCGGGTTGAAAAAAAGCTCCTTTTCCGGTCCTTATGGGCTTTGGAGTCCCTGAAAGCCGAGATCTAGATCTGATAAGCGGATATAAGTTGTCCCGATTTGGTTATGTAATGCTTGCACAGAAGGGGGAAGGACATACAAAGGAGTAGGACATCAGGACATCAGTGGGTACCTAGGTACATCAGTATACTGACGGGCTAGCTTAATGATAAAGATGCTTCTCAGTAGATTCCATGGTAGCTGTCTTGAAAGCTTAGAATATTGGAATAGTTAGCTGTTAGAATCCAAATATGATTTACTCCATAGTCAACCAGTTAAGTTAAATATCAATATCTCTTGATACTTCTATCACTTTATCCCCTTTTACTACCGTCAGGTATGGAATAGTAATTTAATAACATTACTTAGACTACGGGCCATTCTCCGCGTAATAGCATGCTGTAGATAATGGAACCAGAGGGTGGTATCGTAGCCGAGAGACGAGCAAATCAAATTACTGGTTAACTACTGTGCAGTACACAGTACTTGGTCTAGTTTCAACTGCGCAGTAAAACATACGCTAGGGAGAGCAAAAGCCATCCTGGATTATTGTGTGGAGTAGGTAACTTATTGTCTCAAGTGCCAGCACCTATTACTACGACCTACTCTCACGGGAAGCACTGAAATAGCTGCCTTGCTGCACGTATCGTAGATAGCTACTCCGTATGCTTGTGTCTCTCTCAGTGTGTGATAGTCGTTAAGCCAACCAGAAGTCTCGAACTTTCACTTTCTTAATATCTGATTCGCCATTCGTGCAGATCATTTTACTGATTGGTCATCACTCATGACTAAGCATGCACATCCGAAACCCAAACAAAAAAAGGAAGAAAAAAGGAAATAAAAACATCTAAAAAAGCGACAGCAACGACGATGATATTAAAGGTCGAAGAGGAGAAATAAGATAAATAAGCTAGAGTGACAGACATAGTGACACGATAAAACGAAGACACAGGCCGGCATAAAATAGTGCCACAAAGGAGGAGTGGCCGCTACTTCGTCTCTGATACGATGTTGACGTCGTGCTTCAGAGGAGTGGTGGCCCAAAAGAAGAGGCTGGGCAGCGGCGGCCACTCCCAGCCTCCCACATCACGACGCCAGCCAGCCCAGATGCAGACGGGGACACAAGTCCCAACCTCCCGCCAGTGCGAGTGCTGCAGGCTCATAAAGAAGGCGATGGCAGGGAATAAGAAGTCGGCGGGCCCAGTCACTCTCTCGCCTCTTCTCTCTCTTTCACCTTCCAGGGCCATAACCCGTACCGAGTAACCACTTCACCATGCAGCGTCACCAGCAGCACCCACTCGAGACGCCTCGGTTGAAGGTCGTTGGCAGTAAGTTGGCCATTATTATATATATATATATACCCACATAAAAACAAGCATCCGAGGATATATACTGACTGACCGCCCTAGGTAGCCAACCGAAGCTGGTTCACACGCCCTCCCAGCAGTCAATTGCCGCTTCGGACGACTACTACTCCTTCTCAGATCTGACTTCCCACTCCAACGCCAGCAGAGTCACCGTGGTTCCCTACCAGACAGCACCCTCCAGACACCCATCCCCAGACCGCCGGCAGACGCAGGCGCAGGCACAGGCACAGGCACAGGCAAATATACAAACACAAGATATGCCTAGACCGGCCAGAGTGGTCAACATGAGCTCCGCAGCTCGAGCAGAGAGCGGCACGCCGACCCCAGGCACCGATGACTCGCCTTACATTCGCTTTGCCATCGACCAATTGACTAGAGACGAGGAACTTACGGGTCACGGACGCCATGGGTCTCTGGCTACTTCTGCCGACTATCCGGTGGAGCGTTTGGTTCCAGATGAGGGCCTTGGTTACTACACCAACAGCACAGCACCGACCACTACTAACAACAACGACGTTGATGATGTCCGGAAAACGCATACAAATACCAAGAAGGAAATTAACGACCATAGTAATGATAACAATAATGATAATGATAACACGGAAAAACCTTCAAAGACTGGGATCTTCCTGGCGGTTGACCCCCCGAGCAACGCGCCGCTCACTTTCGTTCCCCACGTCCTCCAACCGGTCTTGCTTGGTCCCGGTATTCTACTCACCCTTAGTATGGCTGCTGCTCTCGCCTTCTTCAATATCTGGTCCTCGAGGAATGACGGAATAGCAGCATACGTCTACTTTGGCGGCTCGGAGTACTTCCTCTTCGAGTTTCTACCCCAGATTGTCGGTATGATATTCGTGCTCTGGATTTTCGTTCTGCAGGCGGCTATCTACCGCATAGCTCCTCTCTCCGGTATAGCCCGTTCCCGGACGGCCAGGGATACCACATTTCAGCGGCTGTCCATGCTGCCTAGGAATTTTGTTTTGCCGGATCTCTCGCACTTTTCCTACGGTGAATTCGTCGTGGGTGTTTGTCTGCTCATTTTCTGGCTTGTTAATTGGTTTACCGTGCCTCTTTTGAGCTGCCTATTCCAACCTCGCTTCTACGGTACTGTCCAAGAGGGCGGTTTCCGCTGGGTTAGCGTTCAGGGAGTTGGTTGGATGCTTGTCGCCCTCTACGCTATTCTTGCCTTGGCTCTACTTGCCATCCTGGCTCGTTTTGGCTTTGGCACCAGTGGCCTGCAGTGGGATCCCGTAAGCCTGGCGGACGTTATCCCACTCATCCAGCGGTCAAATGTGCTACACGATTTCGACCAGTCAGAGGTTACCCCAAACGTAGCTGGTCATCTCCCCCCCAGAAAGCTGCGTCTGGGCTACTGGAAGTCTTCTGCTACCCCAGAAGATACCTTCTATGCCTTGGGTCAGGAGGCTGCACCGTTGAAGAGAGTATCTTCTGTTGACCGTTTGCTGGAAAAGGGCCATAGCCATAGAAGAAGCAATAGTAGCACCAGCAACCCCAATATCGATTCAATCGACCTCGAGCGACAGGACCTTCATAGTAAGGACTCCTTCGAAAGAAGCCTGCACTCGCCCTTCTTTCGCTATAGATGGGCCCCCTGGTTCCTCAAGGACACTTTTGTGGTCGTCTGGATCGTCATTGCTCTCGTTCTGCTTGTCGCCTTTATCACCGTCAGCTTCGTCAATCGCCCGTTGGAGCGAGGTTTCCTGCCTCTTCTGCCTACCCTTCCGTCTGCCTATGGCTTCTCCTCGTCTAACTTTCTCTTCAGCTTCATCCCGGCCTTGCTCGCAAACTTCCTTTTTCTTGCTTGGCAGCCCATTGACGTCTACTTCCGCGCCGCCCAGGCCTACGCTGACCTCTCTTCCCCCCGCGGCGCCTTCGCGGAGAAATCTCTCCTGCTTTCCTACAATGCCTGCCTGCCCCTGGAAACCACCTTCCACGCTCTCGTCGCCGGCCATTACAAAGTAGCCTATATCTCCTTCGTCGGTGTCGCCTCTCTTGCGCTGCCCGTCCTTGCTGGCGGTGTCTTCATGGCTCGCTTCTACGCTGAGCTCGAGCAAGTGCGCATCTCCTCTTACTTCCCGGCCTACTATACCCTCATCGGATTTGCCATCCTGTACGCTTTTTCCTTCCTTACTATCTGGCCCCGTCGCAAACGCTATCTCCCTCACCCGCTATACACCTACGCAGACATCATCAGCTTCCTCTACCGGAGCCCCTTACTTGTCGACAAAGTCTTTCGTGCTCCCCGAACAAAGACGGACCTTATCACTCGTACCATCGTCGCGCCGCCTGGTGAGAGCCACAAGGCACTGTATGCCTTTGGTGTCTTCTACGGCCAAGACGGTAAGAGCCATCTTGGAATTGATCGTCTGAGAAGACTTGAAGGAGACGAGTAAAACACCAATCCTCTTTTTTTTTTCCTTTCCATTTTTTAGACATTTCTTTCTTTTTTTCTGGAGGAACAACAGCATGGAGTTACAGGTGTCATGTATAATGGCTTATGTTTTCATGAGCGTTTTCTCAATGAATTTATACTAATGTTTCTCAAAGACAAAAGTGAACGAGATAGTGATGAAGATATGTACTTTAGACGTGCTCAATACCAAAATTATGAATCCTTTCTCTGATGAGACAATAAACGCCGGAACCAGGTTCAATTGGATTGTTTTCCTCCCGCACCTAACCCATGACTCCGTATTCAAAAGTCATAATAAAAACCCGACATTTGTCCATCACTTTGACATATAAGAAATGACAGAGAAAATACATGAAAAATCAATGATCTTCGCCAGGCATAAGCGGCTGCTTGTGAACCGCAGTATATGAGGTATCGACCGAAGACAAGGGAAGAGAATCGGCAAACTTGGTAGCCACGAAGTCGCCTCTCATCTGGGGGAAGCAGTCTCCGGCGTGGAAAACTGTCATGAGCAGAGCAGCAATCAGACAGAGGCTATTATACCGTGTTAGTCATGCAACAGCTAGCAAATAGTATTTATAAATACGCCAACTTACAAGGACTCAAGAACCACAAAGGAGACTTCGTCCTGCATGATCTCGTTTCTCCAGCCGCCGACCATCTCAGCGATTCTACCAAAGTCAGAATCAGTCATCGTCCACATCCACATAGTTAAACGATCTACACTCGGAAGAGAAACTTACCTGTAGACACATCGGATGAAGATAAAGAGGAAAGCAACGGTAGTACTTCCAAGGAAGAGCTTAAACTTCCTGCTGCCCCAAAGCTGTTTCGCCGTTGGGTTGGCACCGTGCCTCCTCTCGCTCCTCAGTCTCCAGAAGAAATGGGCGACAAGGAAGCCGAAGACGGTTAACGTGAAAACCTGCCAGACAATACCTGCAATCATAACGTTCGTACCAGCGTCCTGCTGAGCCTTGTTCTGCTTTGCGGTCGCTGCCAGACCACCGCCGATACCCTGAAGCGTGAGTGATAGCAGATCGACACCGATGAAGATCCAGGTATAGAAGCGGGGTTTGAGCAGAGACAAATTCGGCCCCAGGGCAAGACAGAGATGCTTGAGAGTAAGGTAGATGGCCGCACTGAAGAATGCGGGAGCCATGATGAGCGTGGTAATTTGCATCTGGAAACCGGTCGAGGAGAATGGGTTGTCATGGAGGATGATTCGACCGACATAGCCTGCCAAAATTCTTGTTAACATGCGCATTGTGACCGTTGAGCAGGACATAGACAGACCAATTGCTTCACCCAGGCAGCCGACGGTCATGGCAAAGCTGTAGGTGTAAGTCTTGTACTTGAAAGTCTGCCATCCTTGGACGAGCATGAGAATGCCAAAGACAACAACCAGTGCAGCGTTAATCGGCCGGTTCGGATAGTACCCGTAGATTGAGGCCTGGACAGGACACTGAGCTGTTACCTCGGTGCAGGTTAGAGGATTTCCGCCTTCCATTGTGATGTCCACCCGCGGCTGGTAGGTAAATTTCTGGAATAGAACAACAGCTCTAGGTGTAAAGGTATCAAAGCGTAGCCCTTGGAAATGAACTGAGAGACAAGTCAAGGTTGGGAGAAGGCATAGTCTTTAAATATCTCCCTCTCAGTTCAAACTGATCCTTCACTGTTACAGGTCAAAATGCCCATGACCAGTTGATGTCAACCATTTAGGCTGAGCTGCCCCTGGCGACCAGGCATTGCAACAGGGACCCCTGACCGTGTTGGAAGGGGGAGCATGGCAGCCATGCGTTGAAGATCTCCCTCGCACAGGTAACCAGATGCATCTACATAATTATCAGATAGACACGGGCCGATCAGGCTTGACAGCCGGTTTCCCAGGGATATATACGTACGGAGGTAACGCTATTTATGTAGTTGAAAATAGTTGCTTGCTCCGTCGACCGTCGACTCTCCGCCTAAGAAGGGTTGGACAGACGGCAGAGAGTCTCCGTTTCATCCTTCAGAGCAATCTCACAGTCAACAATCCCTCCAGAACATGCGTGGTTGGGTTGGTGGTTAGTCAGTGTGCTCCATCGACGAGGCTGGCAGCCAAGCTGCAGGGTGATCAGCTCAGGATTCACGGATGTAGCTCCTTTACGTCCGTAGAAAAACGGAGATATATTGTAGTCGCCCGTAAGACGTTAGTTATAGCCATTTATTGGAAGGGTATCTCTGTTTTATCGCCAACACAATTAGGTAGAATTCCGTAACTTGTGCTTGGCTATTGAGGGCCTGGCTAACGCCTTAATGATAATGTGCGAGTTGTTTATATAGAGAAGTTGCCCAAAAGACGAAGCGGAAGACGCGGTCGTATGAGATGATGACTAATCCAGCAGTGCAGTTACAAGTCCCAAGTTAGTTAGTATGGCGGACGATAGTGTAATGACCATGCTATCATTATTCGTTTTTAGCCTGTATAACGATAATACCACGTAGCCAATAATAGAAAAGGTATTTTAAATAGTACCTTTTTATATGGGTAATACTTTACACACCTTACCTAAGCACCCCTCTTCCTGACCCTCTCTTTAGGCCTCTGTGACTCTGTCTGTACCTCTCCCTGGGTCTCTTCCTAGGCTTTTTACTCTCTCTAACTACTAAAATTAAAGGTAGTAGAAAATAAAAGGAGGGTAGTAGTAACTAAGACACTAAGTAACTAGGAAATTTAGGAAGAAAGTAATCTAGAGAGAAGCTTAGGGAGAGGCACAAAGAGAGGGGAAGAGAGAGGAAGAGGGAGGTGCTTAGGTAACTAAGGTAAATAAAATACAGAGAGTAGCTTAATAAGTAAAGTTTATACTTTAGCCCATAAAATAGTTTTATTTTTTGCTTAGTAATAGGATTATATAAGGTTGTTTTAAAACGAATAATGCTTCACAACAAACTCAGAACCATCGATATCCCAATTTCGTCCTCCTGTTCTCCATCTCTATGACCTATTATGTTGAGGTTCCAGCATCGACGCGACAAGGAGAGCTGAGTCGTCCCATATGAATGCGAGTGGGAGTGTAGAAGCGGTCGCAGCCATGGCTCGGTCAAATGTGAGGCTGGAAAACAGGCGTCACGAAGCCTTCGTACTGTCGATAGAAATCGCAGTTACTACCCTCCCCTGGAAACACGCGATATGATATAATATCTACTACGCCGCATGCCGCGCTACTACTTCATGAAGATATTTAACTCGTGGTCGAAGTAGGAATCGGCGTTTTAATGCACGAAACGATTACCCCACCTTACCTTATGCTGGCAAACTAAAGGCTTGGGGTTTTAGGGTACACCCAGCTATACTTGCCTAATACCTACACACTCTCGCAACATGCCAACGCCGACAATACCTGCATTCTGGGTCTCGCATCGACGAGATCTCGACTTTTATCCGAGCCACCACGCCAGCTCATGCGTTGCTGCGTTGGTGGTGAATGGCAACAACGAACTGCTTGAAATTCATTGAGGATCTTCCTTGATATGAAAATAAATTGCCATCATTTTCTAGTTCAGAAAGTTTACAGGGCCGGTCCCATGGAATATGAGGCCATCCTCATTCTTTCTCCCTTCTCTCCCCTGAACTGCCGGTCACAAATGGTCATTGATTAACTGTCCAAAATCTTTTGAGAAATGACTCTGACACGATCACTCATTTCCAACAAATGTCTTCGGCTGGTTCTTGAGTACAGCAGGAAGTAACCTATAAACCCGGTCCCTCCTACAGGGGATACTACCTTTGCACAAGTAATACGTTCAGCTCGAGATAAATACCGAGTAATTTCCGGAAGATGTTCAATAACTCTGTCGCAAAGGTCGTCCGGTACTATAATATTTTCGCGGTGGATAGGAATCATAACAATGGCGCACCAGTACTGGGCGTGGCAGGTGAAAGGTTTTGACAGAGCCATAGAACGTTCGCGATCCTCGAGCGCCCGAAGAAACTGAAGTCCATAGAAGTCTACACCATATGTATAGGTGGTTGCAAATACAGATTGCAGACCAGGCGGCCTAACATTGACTTCAAGCAGAAACACATCTACTGGCTTACTCTCCGTTATTGCTGAATCAGCAGCGTCAGCAAGGTCTAGGATGCCATCCGTTTCTTTATAGCGCATCGAAGAGTTTTGCACCCGGGCTTCAACATGAAAGACGCCAGAGCGGAACCCTAGCTTGAGAAGGCTTTGATGGAGAGATGACTGGATAAGCTGTATTTCTTTCTGATCCAGTTTGCTTGGTAGTAACACGATGGTTTCAGCGAAATTATCTGAAGTTGTCGCATCCGTTGCATCTGCCTGGCACGGCAATCCGTCAGATATCTCGCAGAAGAGGACCTCCCCATCCCAAAGGACAAAATTGGCATCCACCTCTGGTCCATCAATATATGTTTCGAGGAGAATTCCGTACTTCGAAAAACCGCTTTTCTCTAGTTGCTGTACAACTTGGCACGCACTCGTGTAGCTGTTGACTTTCCTCACGCCCCGGGATGCTCCGTCGCGGCATGGCTTAACAACTAACGGGTATTGCATATTTGCGAGCTTCTTGGCCACAGAAGGGTCGGTCAGCTGTGCTGCGCTATCTAGTTGTAGCGTCTGTGTCTGGGTATTATTAGAGTCCAGTAACTTGCGGGTCTCGTATTTGTTGTGGGCGCGCAGAATTTCTTGAGCCGGCTCAGTTGGAAGACCCAATAACTCCGCCGCTTTCGCTGTTGCGATTACGACTTCATCGGAGAACGTAACGATAGCATGGATCCCTCTCCCTTTGAGTGCCTCAGCTATTCTTGAAGGAAGCTCCGCGTCGTTGGTCATGTCAACAGGCACGAAATCATTTCTCAAGTGAGAATGTGCTTCTCCTTCAAGCCAATGCCCTGGTCGATCGACGACATCTATCAAAATACTCAAAGCTAGGGCTGCTTCAAATGTTCCTTGGTGGCCGAACGATCCCCTCTGTAGATCAAACATGGGACGCCCCCCTACCAAGGCAACTTTGCGTACAGTCGGTTTAGTTGGGAGCACCCAATTGAAAGATAACCGAACTCTCAACTCTTCTTCTAGCAGATCTAGCGCCTCACAGTCTGGTGTTAGAGTCTGCTTCGCAAGCAATGCTCCAGGTGCCGAAGATAATAGAGTAAGAAGATTGCTTTTGTTGCGCTGGGTCACATCCATAGATGAAAAATGGCCGCCAGAGGAGGCTGGGAACCGAACGACGGAGCCAACCGATGCAGAATCCCGCATTCTCAATTCAATAATATCGCTCCTACACAAGTATCCATCGTGAGGGACAGTTATAACCTTTACTGCCATCTCTGTTTGATTGGTTTTTGATGCCTCCTGCATTTTGTAGCACGCGTGGACGAGATTCTCCATGGCGGTGCCAGTGGCATACGAAACAAAGCTTCCGTTTGTGTTATTTTCATAATGAACAACTTCCATCCGCATGAGAAGATCAAGAGAGTGAAAATATTTTTGGGTATCTACGCCTGTCGCTGGTTCGGAAAGCCTCCAACGGCACGAAACCTTTGCCAGAGCTACCCACGCCGTCTAATTAGTTTGACTAGGACGAAACCTTGCAAGAGTAAGGGATCCTACCTTTGCTGCCGGGGATGTTAGCCAAAAAGGCTTCAGACACAAATGCCTTATCTTCAATGCTGCTCTTGTCCATATTCTCGTTTTTCAATGATGATGATCGCAGGTGAGTTGTTTAGAACTCCGGGTTATCTAATTATGGTGTTTATGTGCGATTTAAAGAGGTTGTGATGCTGTAGCCCGAGACTCCTGGCAAATAACTTTGTTAAGAATTGTATCGCTGTGTGCCTATATATAGGCTCCCTATCTAAGTGAGATTTCTAGCCAGGCCTGAACTAGCCGGAACGGAGCCATCGGATATGGAGTATACAAATGTCATTCTCTGTGATCACCGCGGAGAAGCAGGCCAATTTACGGAGAAGATTGTGTATCCATACACGTATGTGTTGGCCAGCGCCTCACTCGCATGCTAGGTGCATGTATATGTTACCGCGTATACCTGTTGGCCCCTGGACGCCGTATGTAAGTTGTCATTTACCATTGTCGATGTCATTGTCGTTATTGTGTCTGGTATCGGACGGACTGTCGAGTTTGCCGCTTAACCTTAAATGACCCGCGCGGCTGGTTGACTTTTGGGTACCCAACTTTCAATGAAAGACATGATTGGCCATAACACGACCCAGGGGTAGGAAATACATATCACACGAGCACGAAGAATCCAAGACATTATTTTTGTCCGAACAACTGTTGCATGCCCGAGGAGGCATAGCCTCAACACCCCTCTATCTATACTAGAAACGTGTCAACATTTCCCTGACGCCTTCCCCTCTTCAAATCCCCACAGGTCACGCATCCCGTCTTGCCGAATCGCTGTTTCAAAACCCCTAGAAAGTCATCCCAGGAATGATGCATGCTCAGGAGATGTTTCGAGGATATATGACAACAAAATTCTAGTACTCCGTAGAGCATAGAGGTGAGGTTGATCTCATGTTTTAGCTTTTGGGATACAAGAGTGTACTCAAGAACTCTGCGTATCCCAAATCTGTATGATAACTACTAGTAATGGTAGAGATGCTTCACTGCCACTCGTACGGAGTACTTTCATGGCTTGGCCGCCTGTGCTACATAAAGTTGGACAGGGGTAGCTAGTTAAACCAGCGAAGTGGGGCGGTCGTGGTACGTAACCTACTCGGGGTAAACTTAAACTTAGTTACAGCAAGATGAAGTACGACAAACTTTTGCTCTGGGATAGTAATTCTTGCGCAAGCTTACAACCTCTCAGCATTTCCTTGAGCCTAGCCATGTCTCTTAGGGCTAGCCACGGCAAGGGGAAGTAGCAAGGGTGGAGAGTCGTGATTTTGTTTACAAGGATATCAATTGGGCTGACACTATGGGAGCGCATCCAATCTAGCTTGCCTGATGTTGTTACGTGCTGAACTCGGATGAATTGACTGTTTTCTAATAGTTACTGTGAAAACTAAAGGCTAGATGTGCAGATTAACTTAGTACTAAAAATCTGTCATGTTATGGCCGGAGGTAGGGTCATGGAAACTATGTCTATCCGCATAAGCTTGCCAAACGCGGCTTTCTATCATGAGTGAACACTAGAGTAACTAGTAGTATCCCCTGTGTGTTCATTGTTAGCAGGCGGTGCCGATTCAATACAATTGAAATCCTTGGTTGGTGTTCCGGGGCTACGACAAAATCGATAAAATACCGGGGCAGTAACTATCATCACCACTGCAAAACCCATGTATAGGTAGATTATTGTCAAACGGAGATCGATGATTTGATTGAGATATCTGTGGGCTGGCCAAGCATAGGTGTAACTAGCGAGGCTGACTAGTTAATACATATATCTGACAATTATTCACTCCACGTTTTTCTATCAACTAGTACTTTTGGCCTAGCCTGTGTAATTGCACCGATTAAAGATGTCGGGTTAGCCATCATGTATTAGCTAGTAGCCCCTCACTAGAGAGTCTTATTCAAGGGGTGAGTCAAGGATATTTATTTTACCCTGGGAAGGCGTTTGGAAAAAAAATGTACAGGAGCAAACAAGGACGGGCCAGTAATAAGCTATAGTGCTAATGGTTATTGGCATATTGAGTTGAGGGGAGGTTAGTAGTAAGGAGCAATTGACACGCCAGTTGCTCAGCCTCACCCTAGATAAACATTTGAGAACGACCGCAGGTAATAAGTTGCCACGCAGATCACAAAAGCTGTCAATAAAACCCCTGTGCCGTTATCCGTGCTCTTCTTTGCAGGGATGAATGATGGATGGAATTTGCCTAGAATACTCCATAAAAGGTGGAAAAAAGAATAAGCTGAAGATCCACTGACTCCGAGCCTATCTACACAGATACGGCTATCACGGCAGCGAAACTCTTAGCTCAGTTCTTTATAGATCTTCCTTTTGATACCCCTACACACTTGCACGCTATTACTCAAGCTGAATTGGTGTAGCTGCTTTAAACTTTGCAAGAGTGTTATTGTGATGGTATGAAAGACTTTTACTTGACGGTGTTGGTTAAATGAAACGATATCTGGGTTGTCCCAGTCCCATTTCTAGTCCTATCCCCTCCCCCAACCTTTTGATGAGGCATTTGGAGGAGCATCAATATGTATGGGACTAGTTGGACAAGGTAATAATATAAGATGCGATGGCTGCGACAGCCACGGTACATATCAGAGGAATTTTACCAAGCAATGCCATAGGTGACTGCTCTGTTTATTTTTTCTGTCTTTTAAAAACCTTTCAATGACAAGACATTCCATAACTGGAAAACCCCTATTTTTCTACAACCGGCAGTTTTTGGGAGAACCCCTCCACCCCACGCCCGCCCCTGCAAAGGCCACTCTATATACAAGGTCCTCTCGAGTTATAATAACTGTTAACAGTCACGGTATAACTAGTTAGTTAGTTCGTTCCAAGGCTCGGGGAAAAACCAATAAAAGATAATACTGTAGCTTTCCCCCCCCCCGCGAATTTGGCTGGATGGCCTTCATTTCTCATCTAAAAATCTTCCCGCTCTTCAAGGATTGCATCGTCACTAACGAGCTGCGTAGTTAACTGACTCAAAGTTTTTACGCATAAATCTCATTAACTAAAAAGATGGATACTTCGCCAGCACAAAATGAAAAGCGCGAAGCAACTGAGGACGAAATCGTGAACCTCGAGCATGTGGTTGACTCAGTCCCAGGTGTTGTTTGGGTTGCACTGGTAGCCGCAGCTGCTGAAAGATTCACATTCTACGCCGCCACAACTCCATGGCGTGGGTATCTATCGAGCGAGCTACCCGAATCTAAGATCAATCAGGTACTAACCTTCTGCATAGAGAACTACATACAAAATGGCAGCGACAGTATTGCAGTCCCAGGTGCTCTGGGACTTGGCCAAGCAACCGCGACAAATATCTCGAACGCCTTCTTTTTCTTTTCATTTTTATCGCCTATGCCGTTTGCTATTCTCTCAGATGCATGGCTGGGCCGCTACAAGACACTATGCCTGAGTTTTTCGTGAGATTCCTTTTGTTCCTCTTTTCTGGCCAATGCTGACTGGATGTAGGCTTAATATATGTGGATGTTTAGCGCTTTTTGTTACTTCTCTTCCGTCTGTGACTAAAGGTTCTATCAAAATTGCTGGGTTGGCTATTTCCATGGTGTTTCTTGGGCTTGGAACAGGCGGGGTCAGAGCCACTGTCTCACCATTTATAGGTAACTAGTTCGAATCAATCTACGAGTTAAGATTTTACGAAGCTCACCCCCACTTTGATAGGCGATCAATATACAGTCTTGAAACCGCAACTAATTGTTACCAAAAGTGGCAAAAAAATCGTTACAGACCGAACATTGACTCTTCAATATATATATAACGTTCTTTACTGGTAATGAATATACCTAAGTTGCATGTACATCCAGCTAATAGCTACGATTACAAGGTTCACCAATATTGCTAGCCTGTCACTGATTGCTTCTACATATTTGGAGAAAGAAATTGGCTTCTGGGCTGCCTACCTGCTTCCATTATGTACAGTCTGGATGCTGATTCCCTTGATGTTATTCTGGCAGAAAAAATTTGGTATGGTGTCAGAATCTATATCCTACCAAAACTTCATGCTGATAACTGTCAAAAAGTCAAGCTCTCGCCCCAGGGCAATGCTCTTCCACAGGCTGCAAAGGTCATTGCATGTGCAATACGAGGGCGGTTTCGGTTAGATGTTGCCAAACCATCATTTCAAGCATCAACTTATGGAAGGGAAGTTGAATGGAACGACCAATTTGTCACCGAAATGAAAAAAGGCCTCATCGCCTGCAAAGTCATGTAAGTCATGTTGCAACTTATGCATTGTTCGCTAACTAGTTAGTTACCTATCCTGCTAACAACTTTCGCCAGGGCCTGCTTTGTACCATTCTACTTGTGTACAAGTCAACTCACAAACAACTTGATTTCTCAAGCTGGGCAAACAAGGCTGGGTGGAATCCCAAATGACACAATTCAGGCGCTCAATTCTATCGCCTGTGTTCTTCTAGGCCCGATTTTGCAAAAAATTCTTTACCCAACACTCCAACGGCATGGAATTGCATTTAGACCTATTGCACGTATGACCTCAGCATTTGTTATAATAAGCGCTGCGATGGCTTTTACCGCTGGATTACAAAAATTGATATATATGCGAGGACCATGCTATGGTCAGCCACTTTCTTGTCCAGACTCGAATAACGGCAGTATACCCAACGACATCAGCGTCTGGGCACAGACGCCCATATATTTTTTGCTAGCAGGCGGGGAAATTCTGGGATTCGCAACCTTATCTGAGTATAGTTACTCCAAATCGCCGCAGGATATGCGCAGCCTGGTACAAGCGTTGCGACAGGTAACTGCAGGAATTGGATCTGCATTAGGAATAGCTACCTCGCCACTTGCCGTAAACCCAAGAATATTGTACCTATATACGGGTTTAGCTGCGGTGATGATAATTACTGCCCCAATATTCTGGATGGTATTCCGGGACTATGACAAAATCGACGAAGAGCTCAACTGTATCGAATCAGCTCAACCTGCTAACAATGATCGTGCGGAGGACTCTATATCTGATGCCCGTCCATGACAGGAGATTTCTTTTGGCAAGCGTATGCGCATGACTATAGGTTTCCATAGATAAAAGCATAGAATACTGCTGGGATAGAAATAGGAGACTTTAGCTACTTAAGTTCCTACTATACTAGGATTAGAGTATAAGTAACTACTCCGTACTTAAGTTAAATAAATATCATTGCCTTCTCAACAAGGCCCCTGCTCGACTTTTGCAAGATTGTCGATTGGGGCATATTTGCACTTTGAGTATACGGTCCTAGTGCCTCCTTGCAGGGCATGGAACACTTCACTTATTAGTTGGCCTGGGTTTGGGAAATTCGGGAACTAGTTCAACTGGTCAATTAGCCGGCCCCTCAAGTTTCCCTCCTATGCTGAGCACGCAAGTGAGATTCCCTGCAGCAGATACCGCAGCGAGGCAGCATGCCGGATACTATCGAAGCGCTAGATATCCCTTGTCGTCCGTCATCCTAGATATCACGGTCCCGAAGTTGCGATACTAAATCTAGGAGGTTCAACTTCCTCTCTGCCTTATTTTCACCTGCTTCGTCGACTGCATTGTCTCTAGTCAACGGGGGAAGTCCGTATGCCACCGGCGCTTGACCAGCCGCAGTTGGATAGTGCTCTTCGGGCCGCTCTACTGCCCTGGAACTATCATATTGGGTAACTCTTGCGTCAGACAGGCGAGTGCTGCCTCGATTGTGTTGTTTTCCAAAAGCTGACAACGTAAGAAATCTTAGCTTCTCACCTCTAGATACCTCTCTTGATACAGCCATGCTTAATTCCACTTACGGTGGCTTCGTGATCGATCAATACTGAACACCCGAGAACTTTCAAATGTCTGTAGCTCCTCCTCACTCCTTGCCATTGCCTCGTTATCTTTCGATTTAGAGTCCCTTAATGTTGGATCCCCCGGAGCTCGAAATAGCCGGTCCTCTTGTGCATGACGGTATTCAGGAAAGGACCGATCTTCCGCATCATAGCCAATGCTCCTTTGTCTTGCATCTTTTGAGCTCTCCGGTTGGACCATTCTACTGGCATGTCCGCCGCTGGGAAAGATAGAGGGCAAAGGGCTTGACCGAACCTTGTGGATATGTAGGGGTTCAGGCCGGAGGCGCGAGGAAGAAGTCTCTCCCCCTGTCCATGGCGGGCTTTGTAACCCACGTCCTTCATAACTAGGGTGTGTATATATTCGCCGCTCTGGAGAGCTACCGGGACAAGTAAAATCCCGGGAACTACTCTCTGCTTCACGTGCCGTATCCAAGCCCACCGTTCCAAAGGGGCCCGATGACATAGTGTTGACTTGATAAAATTTGTCCTGGCGGTACTCATACCTTCCATAAGGATAATTTTGTTGGTATGAATCGCCTTTGTGGCCATAGTATGGATGTCGATCGTTCAGTTCTAGAAATACCTCTACGGCTCAGCATTCTGCCTATGAGTTTGATCATGTAATCATGTAGTTGAAGTAGGCAATGCTAATATAAACATCACTTTTTTAAAAGAAATATTGACGTTTATAATATAAAGGAATAAAGTACTTACTATGTATCTGGTCTCTGGGTAGCTCGCGCAACAGTATTGATTGCTGTGCCCTATAGTTATTGCCGCTACGACAACTAGAGCTTAGTGGAAATAATGTTGTATTAGCAGATGGAGAAGTGTTTGAGATTCCAAAATCTTGTAGTTCATCTTGAGACACAACGGGTGAATCGGGATATTTATGCATGGTTTCATAGCTCTGCCTACGATACCCTATGTCACGGTTAAAACTTGTTGACAAAGGTGTTGAATTTGACCCTGGTGTGTTTTTTCGTATCAGACCCTGTGCTCGCAACTCTGTAGTCGATGTAGCAACAGTATTGACAGGCGATGACGGTACTGGCCCCTGGGGGGTTGACTGCTGGATATGGATGGATGATTCTTCTTCTGTGCTAGTCAGAGGGCCACGGCTTGCAGATATGTTATATAAATGCTTAACCCAGAGGAGAAATGCAACGAGAACCACAATAGCAAGAGAAGTTATAAGAAGTGGTGGTAGGAGTTCGGACTTATTGTTCGCCTCTCTCATGATCGAAGATTTGAATGAGTCGGAAATTTTATCTCCCCAGTAGGATGTTCTTCCAGGTGAGCTAGCTTTCAATAAGGCTGTAATAGATCGATCTGGTCCTAGCGAAATAAAATATATAGGGAAACAGTGATCCACTTGTATACTATCTGTGTTGTGGTACAGACGAGGTATACCCCCTGCTTATTGATATTGTGGAAGTCAGTCCTTAGAACATCAGATGGCCAAAGAGAGTAATTAGGAAAGCCGAGTCGATATGAAGCGGAGGGTTCCGATATATCCAGGCCTTTAAAGAGATCCGGAAAGTAGAGTTTACTGTGAATATGGGCGGGCCTAGGTACCCTATTCACAACTTTGGACCATAATCGCACATTCCTGTAAACGAAGTTCACTACAGTGGAAAGCATCAAGAATTTGATCTGTTATAGGATGCATTACACTGGGACTTTATCTCTTCCTCCAAGGTGAATAGTAAAGCTTCAAATAACCATCTAGCCTCGTTTCTGTCTCCTGTCAGTGGACTTTTAACCCCAACCCAGCTCCATTTTTCTCCGACACTAAGGGCTGGGGGTTTTTCCGACAGACGGCGAGCCCTTTCTGATTTTGACAACTCTGCATCTGTAGAGGGTATTTGGGTAAAGGGGCAGCAACCTTCAGCACACCCTATTAGGCCAAGGAAATAGCACCATTCATCGTGGGTATAATGTTTTGGTGGGTTTGAAGAAAGGTCATTGTAAATCTTTCCAAGCTCATGTACTATCGCACACCACCTTTGTGAAGGTAAGCGTATTTCCTGAAACCCTAGGTTTTGTGGGGCCAGATTCTCCATTGAAGCAGAATGGTACGTGTGGGGATGATCACCGATAGACTGTCCGTCAATATATTCCGTGTCGCGTCCACGATGTCGAAAATATTCAGCCATGCCATGAAGGAAAGAGAACAGCCTGTTTTTGATACCAGTCTCATGAGGGAATAGGGTTAAATCTCCTGCAAAAATAGTGGCATCGTGGAATAGCTTCGCAACGGTATCACCCATACTTGAGATCAGGATGGTGGTGGTCGGAACAGCAAGAAGTGACCATAGAACGAAGAATGGTTTCCCCCACGACTCGCCTAGGACGACGTCGCCATATCCAATTGTAAGAAGATTCACATAGGCGAAGTATAACGAGGTGAAATAAGTCCAGCCAGCGGGTTGTTCCGCCTGCCAGAATGCAACGGCCCCTACTAGCCAAAGTACTGCCCATGCCAAAGCCGAGATGAGAAAAGAAAGCCACCGGAGCTGCCAGGCACAAGTCTTGTGTATGCGGTGCATCACATGGAACTCTTCTTGCTGTATCTCTTTATCAGATAGCGAGCTACCCGGGTTCGCCAGTGGCTGAAGCATTCGCGTCGTCATATCTCCGGACTGCAGCTGCTCTGTAACCAGTTTCCTCATCTTTTCTGTTATCCTCACGGTGAGCTGTGCCCTCGCTCTTTCGATCATCATTGATCGGATGGAAATAATGATCAAACCAAGGGTGAGAATGCCGCCAACGGCGAACGGAAACAAAAGGCTTCGACCAAGGTGGGTGGCTGGAGCGAGGTCACCAATTCCGTTAGTAAGAAGGGTGAAATCAGCCCAGTATAAAGCATCAAGATAACTCCAGTTTTCAACATGAGCAAATATAGCCGCGCCAATCAGGAGGTACATCATGTAGATAATTGTCTGTAGCATTAGTGAACGCTGACTGGTGGTGAGATTGAAATGTTTGCTGTAGCGTCCAGTTCTCGCACCATATCCGGTAATAAGCAAGAGTGATGATACGAAGAAGTAGATAGCAGCCGCCATGATGGCATAGTAGTAGGCCTGGGTTAGCTGTCTACCATGCAAGTCCGTCACTCGTGGGATCGCGACAGTCAGGCCAATTAGCAACGCAGAGGCGATATACCAACCGCCAATTGTTATAGGCTGGCTGACGGAAAAAGGAACTCTTCTAGCCATATTCAGCAGAAGAGACGCATTTGATATCAAGGCAAAACCGAGGGAGATGGAATTGATCGCGATCGCCCTAGAGTATAGGAGCTTTAGTATAAGAACAACTCTCTGTTCAATAGTTTGGATTCAAGACAAGAGTGTGGAGAACAACCATGACGGATCTTTGACGGTTTTTGGAAGATTACCGGTCCCGAGTGTCCCGATATCTGCTCGCCAGTCCTGGGACAGTGAGCAGATGCTGAAGGCATTTGCCATAGGGCCCAGCGTTCCCTAACCACACCTCTAGTTAACTATGAACTATAAAAGTATCCGAGATGATATGCACCTACTGCTAGCAGGGGAAATACCGTGCTGGCAAACCACCATCGCGTCGGTAGAAGGCAAGGCACCTCGTGGATGTTGGCGTCGCGCGCCTTGCCCTTACGGCGCTCCTCCATTCCCACAGCCGCAGATTTGCTGGCCTCTAGAGTGTCGGGCTTAGTTGACTGGGCGACAGGACGCTCTCCATACAAAATACTCGTCTCAGTAAATAGTTAGTTAACTAGTTATTAGTGATAATCTAAGGCCGTTTATTCAGTGCAAAGGCTAGGCGATGACAGTTTCAGCCTGATGAAGTGAGGTGATATTTAAGTATTTTTAGCTGTGGAGCAGCACGGGGTGTTCGAAGCTTGTTTATTTAGTTATTTAGCCTTTTTAGCTAGTTAAATGGCCTGGTGACGACGTCATGCGGGCTTCAACAAGGGTGAAATGATCTCGAGTGGATGGGAAGACATCTTGATCTCCAGCTTCATATCCAGGCCACTTCTGTCAGCCAGATAGCTCTATATACACCATATAGCTACGAAGTATCTAGCATTTCAAGTGGACAAGGAGCTTTTCGTCTTCGACTATATCTTCCTCGAGACCCATCAGGTTCTCCATGTCCCAGGCCATGCTAAGGTATCGACCACCAAGCCAGGATCGCTCCTCTGACGTCAAAAAGGTAAGGGTATCACCGCTAAGCTCGGGTGTTTCTGTGAATACTACAAGATGGCGGCAAAGTTAGCTACGGATAACGAAACCACTTGGAGTCGGGGTTGAGGTTTGGTTTAATGGCTCACCATGTTTGATCTCGGGAGGGATTTTGTCGAATATACCGCGAATCAGCTTGGTGAAGACGTTTCCAGGATGAATGTTGATACATATGATGCCTTCTTCCGCATATTCTTTATCAATGCACTCAGCCAATCGAACCACACCCAATTTAGCAATTTGGTAGGAACTCATTTTAGGGAGGGTGATGTGGGCGCTGACGCCGCTGACCAAGATAAGATATCGAGCTTCTCCGCCCTTGGCTAGCAGTGGGAGAAATGACCGAGCGACGAGATAGGATCCAAAAAGGTTCACCTGGATCATATCCCACCACGCAGCTGGATCTGTGTCTGCAACCTTGCCAGGCATGCTTGCCGCCCCGGCATAGTTAATAACCACATCACAGAATTTGAAGACTTCCTCTACTCTGGCGGCTGCCATCTCTACACTCTTTTGATCTATCACGTCAATATGTAGAGTCAGGACTTTTGGCTTCCTTCGACCAACGGACTGTGCTGCAGCCTCAACATCCTGGCGTACCGGGGTCAGATCAGACCGAGCAGCAAGGGCGATATTCGATGCGCCCGCTTTAGCAAAAGATATGGCAGCTGCTCGACCAAGAGTCCCTGAAGCACCGGTAATGAAAATTACCTTGCCTGTGAAGTCTAGTTTTGTAGGATCGACAAAGTCGTATGTTGTGCTCTGCATATCAGAGGAGAGAGTAAAGTCCCCTGAGTATCAACTATTAGAGAAGATTTAACGTAGGCTAAGGAGTTTTAACCCCTCCTATGGGATAGGTGGAAAGTTAAGAGCTTACCTGGACCTTCAAAAGGGTTGTGAATATCGGTTGGGGGCGGCATAATAGTATATATCGCTGAGTTAAGTATGCTTCAGTGTAGCTATTTGGGTATAAAAGCTAGCGATGCAAGGAATATATAGATAGGTTATTGGCTTGTTGTAAATATCATTTTTGGTACTAGGGTGGAGGAGGCCTGGCTATTTATGTCACTCCAGGCGAGATAACTATCTTCTACGGAGTTCTCCCTTGGAACTGTATGCTTAAATGGCCAGCTACCTTTCTTAGCTGCAAGAGATATGAGAATCCTTAGAAATGGTATTTGTCAAAGAGTAGTTACTTCTAAAAAGTAAAAGGTTCTTAAAGAATTATAATGCTATGATAGCCTAAATAGTTACTCGCTACTTTTTATAGAGTTACCTTGATGCCCCCGGCGTATTTCCTTGTTTGACTATCACAGCAAATCTAAGGAAGCCCTTCAGCAGGTTTGATAGAGGGACACAGAAGAGGAGACTTCCTTTATAAGGAGTACGAGGAGCTTATGGAGCCCATAAAGAGACATGTGATAATACAGTAGAGAACAATAGATTAACTATCTTTTTAGACAAAAGCTAATAACATATAAAGGAACATTTATACCCACTGGGCTTTCATTCTAGGTTCTCAAACTATTTTCCAATGTTGCAGGTCACCCTATTATCAAAATAAAGAGTAGCCTTCCCTTTGTGCTCGAAATGACCGATATCGCATGTGCCTGAAGACAGAGGCAATTTGTTAGAAGTCCATATGTGATATATAATAAACGAGTGTCAATTGGCTGGAAAGATACTATATACAACAAAGGTGGCTAGGGCTAGTCTAGTTACATTGAGGGAACGGCAAGATGGAAATATGGACATGGAACAAAACAGACAAAGAAAAAGCAAATGATTAACTATCAAATGCACCTCAAGCATGAGGCGAGGAGAACAAAAAAAGAAGTACGAACATCGAAGGCATCAACATACTTATGCTCCGTATTCGTGCTTGGCCAGCGCCAGAGGCCCTCTTAGATCCGTTTACGGGTCGAACCACTCTCAGCCCGTTGCAATGTCATTAAAACAATGCCTGGACTTGGGGAAGAGAGCCGAATTTCAGTATCCAGAGTGATAGCCGGCATATGATCTGCGAACAACACGGGAGTTCCCAGCACTCAAGGCATTCTTCACTGTCGAAGTGAAGTTGCCATTGGCCCAGGCCTGGCTGGCATCCCACATCATCACTCCACCGAAGCTGGAGAAGGTCTTACTCCAGTTAATGATGCTGACAAGAGTTTGGGCATCGACGTATCCGGAGCTAGCGCCCCCCTTGTTTGCAGGAGCTCCGATCATAATCTTCACTTGGGGATTTGCCGATACTTTCTTTGCAAAGTTGTCCCAGTCCGCAAAATTGAACTTGTCTTGTGACTGGGAGCCGAGGGCGAAGTTGTTGAGGCCGCAGAAGTTGTTGTAGAACTGAATGAATAGAGCATCAAATTTGACACCACCCTCCAACATCTCCTTATTGTATAGATCCGGGTACGGGCACTGAGGAGCAGCAGTCAAGTAAAACGTCTTGGATTTTTCGGCATCATACAAAGTACGAAGCTGCTTGCCAAAAGGTACCATGTTCAGCACAGTGGCTTCAAAGTCGAGATCAAATCCATCGACTACTGCATCATCGAATGGGCGAAGAACTGAAGAGTTTGACGTTGTCTTGACCGGACCAAACGTATCCCATAACAGATTGGCTCCCGCAACAGCATCCTCAGCAGAGCGGAAGCCACCTTCACTGTAAGTTGCTCCGCCAATAGATAAAAGGATGGTTTTTCCTTTCTTCTGGCACGTTTTGATGTCCTCGCTATTTCCTAGTTAGCCTGCATACTCTTTCAGTAGGTAATGTATAAAGAAGGGACGATACCCAATTTGCGGACAGTGAAGAAGGTCGGTTCCTGGGAATGGCTTGCAGGGATCTCCCTGGTTGGAGAAGTTGATTTGTGGGACGCCCCCGGGGCCTTTGATGGATATGGCAAAGGCAAGTGGAATCACCTTTGATGGATACGATTGGTTAATAACACGAAGCATTCAGTCACGTTTAAATATAAAAAAGGTTGCTTAGTAGCCATACATCAACATCGGTGCCTTTATACTGGTTAGTGAATGTTTTAATTGCACAAGGCAATGAAAATTAAGGATTAGAAGGAATACTTGCTTTCGCAGTAGTAGCTCAATCTCTGCTGCGCTTGTGTTCCGTTTGCCTGATTCAGAGAATTCTGGCCTAGCCAGGAGTAGTCGAGTCAGCATGGTGCTGTGCAATAAAATAGGTGGCCAAGATAGTAGACTTTATCGGCATAGAACACAAACCCCAGTAAATGGCGACGTTGTTATGGCCCGGAGACTCCAAGCCTGCATAAACCGTCTTGACACCCGCAAACAGGGCCACAAAGGAGAGGATATTCTTCACAGAAGACATTGTTTAAGGAGTGGTAGTAAAAGAAACCTAGCCAGTAGGTATGATGATGAGTGTCAAGGCGATGTATGTCAAGACTGCTGTTTGACTTCTAATGCAAGAACAGAAATATAAAAACAGGGTTGAGATGGCACTGTTTTATATATTTTGATCAAGGCCTTGATAGCCACGAAAAATGAGAGGCCATGTGCCATGGGATCGAGATTTTCCTTCCCCAAGTCGGGCGGGTGTGTGAGCAGCATGTCATGCAGTATAGATGACCCCTAGGGATGATATTATCTTTATTCAGGGTCATCAAAACCACACTAACTCTATCAATGGTAAGAGAACGCGGAGGCAAGGAGCACACTATTACCAACGACGACAGGAGAGATGGATAAGCAAACGATAGAAAAAAAGCCTGCTGACCGCCAAACGGTGAAGTGGTTCGGCGCGGAATGTCACATTTTCGGGAATTTCTTGGAGACAAGGTGGGAGTCGAAAGAAGGATGAAGGCATGAGTGGAGAGTATATCCGATGAGTGTTTCATTATCCATTCACCCAACCGCCCAAGGGGAGGAGATGCCAGGTCATCTAGGAGAGCAATACACCCTCCGGGAGCAGTGTACGCCTTGGAAAGGGAGGAATAAGGCAGGATGGATCCCATCGATCTGCCATCACGAAGAAGATGGGGCCAACGGATGACCTCGCTCTCAGCCTTAGAGGCAAGATTTCATAGTAGGAATGGGCCTCATGGAGGACGGTTGGTATATCGTGAGCGGGAATAGCATGATGGCAGGCAGCATCAGCCTTCCATATATCATGAGTATCATGCGAATAGGCTGGATATACGTGGGATGCGACCACGCCGTCTCAAGCCCGAATAGACATCTGCTTCCAACGGTGTAACCATAGTCAGTGTCCTACGTGCACACGACATCCGCGGTGATAGCGTCGAGCCTTTGCGGGCCTGCGGGATCCTGGTGCGGCGCCGGACGGACGGGATCCCACCCTGCGTCAACCCCAGAATCTCACGTTTCGTCTCTCCTCGTCATCTAGGAGTTCGTCTTCCTCTGCTTCTGACTTGTTACTGGCTCGTCATCCATGCTTTTCTTTTTTGTCCGTTGGTTTTTTGCGGTTTCTGATATTTCGACGTTGTTGCTTTTTACTTTTTTTTTACTTTTTAGTCGCTTGACCGAGTCAGGTGTTGCTGACTAATCATAAGCCTAAAGGTCACGTGGCTATACCTTTTTCCGACATCAAGTTGATATTTTGACAAGAGACAAAGATGAAGGACGAAGCCGTTAATGAAAAAGAGGTCTGTCTAGTTATCGTTACAAGACTGTTGTATCATAGGATGTCAAACAGATAGTCAGAATAAAAAAAAAAAGGAAAGAGGCAGAAGAAGCCAAAGAAAGAGATGGATGGTTGGTTACAGGCACAGACAGACCCGATGGGTTGATAGCCCTTACTGAGCAAGAATACTGCGTCCACCATCTGCCGTAATTCGTTTGCGCACCTTCATCTTGAAATAAGACGATCCTTGCTCGATCATGACAGAGTGAGCAGCCTGACGGGCCCATTGATCGCCCTCTCGTTGCATGTTGTCCCCGCGGTTGACGTCCAGGATGGCACTGGAACAGAACACCAGAGCCTCCCCAGTCCCAAGGCCAACGATGCGGGAAAAGATCCCACCGGTGCTGTACTTTGAGGAACGAGACGCGATAACGTCCATAACGGCTGCCGCAACATGCCCTTCTAACGTCTTGAACCACGCAGGAGAGCTGAACCTATGCACTATCGTAACATTGCACAGGTCCAAAAGGTTTGGGGACAATGTTGGCTCCTGAGTCGCAATGATAACCCTCGTAGCAAGATGGCGCTGTTGTCTAATTAGGGACAGCATTGTTTCTGTCAGAGTCACGGCCTCGTTACTCTTGGTTGTCAGATACTATACATCCACGTCAGTCGATGTCTGTCTGCCTATGGCCTGAGAAGCAGTTGGCCTACCTTATGCGCCTCGTCAAGGGCAATCACACGGCCTCCTTTACCACGACCCTCAAGGAAGATACCTATACATATGTCAAACAGCGCACATGCGTCGTTCTCGTCCACGAACGGGCAGCTCAAGTCGACGATAGTAAGGCTACCCTTTTCAAAGTTCCAAACACTATCTTTACCTTTGCGAGAGGCAGATTTACCCCTTGGAATAGGTGGGACCTCTAGAAAAGAACGGAGAAGATCTAGACGCATGTTCAGTGGTGCAAATTGACCTTTTAGCATTGACTGGTCCTTGATCTTTTTTTCAAAGTCCCGAAAATCTATCCCTCGCCGAGCGTTGGACTCTTTCGCCATATCTCGAAGAATTTTGGTAACCATCTTAGGTAGGTCAGCAGGTCTTCCTGATATGTCCTTTTGTGGAATAATAGGCCTACCTCCATGTACAGTGGCGTACCCTCTCCATCACTAATGGCCATTAGTGATTTCATCATTCCAATACTGAGGTGGTCTTCGTTGAACAGCATCGGCTCAACCTTTGGCCTGGGACAGTCACTTGGCAAACCCGGCAGGTTTGAATACAGTTGGCTCATTCGTTGCAGGTTGCTTGGTGACACCAAAACCCTGACTGGTATACCCGCAGAACATAGATACGCTGCCTCGCAAAGTTGGCCTGTCTCCAAACTGGTGAACTTGTCATAGTGAAGCACCAAGCCTGTTAACTGAGATGAGACCTTACCTGCCGTTGATGGCTGCAGCAGCGAGTTCTCCAACATGCATGCAAGCGTATGGCTTTTGCCGCTGCCCTGACTCCCGCAAATGAACGTCGACCATGGAGCATTGATGTTGGCGTACACCAAATTCTGTTTTGCTCCCCCAATGCTAGCATTTCCCTCGTCACTGCCAGGTGTGTAGCTGTTGATTCGGAGTCCGAGTAAGCCGTACTGAGGAAATAATGTCTCCACGCTGTTGGTACCTGGGAGAGCATGGTGAGCTGCACCCTTGACTTTTGAAGAAAACAATGGTGTAGTCTTTATTTGCTCCACCAAAGGGCTGGCTGATGATTTTTCCTCAGCTTGGCCAAGCTCAACGAGCTTCAAATGCTCTTCGAGCTCTCTTAGGCTGTGCTTATCCTCAAGGCCGTAAATGGAAGGCTCCGCGTTGAAATCTGCCAAAGCCTTTAGCTTAGCATCCGATGTTGTTTCTGGTCTAGCTTCTGGTTGCATTTCCGCTTCCATAGCTTCTTTTCTGTTTTCTGTTCCAGTTCCCTGGCTGGTCCCTGATTTGGCTCCGGCTCCCTGTGCCTTTTCCTTCCCTTTGGCTTCTGTTTCAGGCCTAGCCATAGCCTCTGATCTAGCCTCTGATAGATATTAGCCGAGCCCTTCGGATGATGCCGGAGTCTGAGGCCCGTAAAATCGACGTTTGAGAAGCCGGCGAACCCTGTCCTATGCGGGTGCCGGGGGGTGAGGGAGCCCTGTCTTCGGCAGCAGTGGAGGAGCCAGTTTCTTTGGCGGCGGGAAACCCGGAAAACCGACAGACAAGAAGATGATGAACGCTTGGGAGCGATCAGATGGCCCTTTTTCTGCGTCATTACGAGGTTGATGTGAAGGAGACGGCGTGATGCTGCTGATATGAAGTACCTTGAGCAGGCAGCTTCTCTTCCCATCGTCCGGGGAAACATTTGCCTATTACAGGTATTTATGGTCTCCGTTGTGGACTGGCTGGATGGACATGTTCCCTGCAGGAGAGACGAA